AAATAAAAGCAGCCAGGAACTTGGGAGGCAGGGGCTGGCAGATCTTTTCGAGTTCAAGGCCAACCTTGTCTACACAGTGAGAACATGTCGCAAAAAAAAAAATGAGTAAAGCAAAAAAGGAAAATCAAAAATAAAGCACAATTTTAAATCTAAAAAATAAAGGATACCTATTTTCTAGTTGGAAAACTATCATGAAAACATATTGTGACATATCTCAAACAAGTGTTTGTAAATGTATCCCCATCAGTCGGGCTGTGTTGACACACACCTTTTTTATTTTAAGATTTTATTTATTTATTATGTATACAGTGTTCTGTCTGCATGTATGCCTGCAGGTCAGAAGAGGGCACCAGATCTCATGAGAGATGGCTGGGAGCCACCATGTGGTTGCTGGGAATTGAACTCAGGACCTCTGGATGAGCAGTCAGTGCTCTTAAACTCTGAGCCATCTCTCCAGCCCCTGGCACACACCTTTAATCCCAGCACTTGAGAGGCAGAGTCAGGTGGGTCTCTGTGAGCTCAAGGCTAGCCTGGTCTACAAAGATCCAGGATATGCTCCAAAGTTACAGAGAAACCCTGTCTTGGGAAAAAAAAAAGTATTCCCATCAGAATCTCAGGGGAGGTTGTTTTTTTTTCTTTTTATTGGTGTTTTTGTTGCTTGGTTAGTTGATTTGGTTTGTGTGTGTGTGTGTGTGTGTGTGTGTATGTAGACAAGGTTTCTCGGTTAGTTCTGACTGTCCTGGAACTCAATCTGTAGACCTTGCTGTCCTTGAACTGGAGATTTGCCTGCCTCTGGCTCCCCAGTGCTGGGAAAGGTGTGTGCCACCACTTCCTGGCTGAGATTTTTGGGTTTTTTTTTTTAAGATTTATTTATTATGTATACAGTATTCTGTCTGCATGGATCCCTGCAGGCCAGAAGAGGGCACCAGATTTTGTTACAGATGGTTGTGAGCCACCATGTGGTTGCTGGGAATTGAACTCAGGACCTCTGGAAGAGCAGCCAGTGCTCTTAACCTCTGAGCCATCTCTCCAGCCCGAGATTTTTGTTTTTAAAGGAAGAAAAGAATGAGGAGTTAGAGGTACAGTTCACTTGGTATAGTAGTGCCAGTCTGTTACCCCAGCACTCAGGAGGTGACAGGCAGGATCAGAAGTTCAAGGTCATCGGGCAGTGGGGGCTCTTGTCTTTAATCCCAGAACTCTGGAGGCAGAGGCAGGCAGATCTCTGTTGAGTTCGAGGCCAGCCTGGTCTACAGAGCAAGTTCCAGGCCAACCTGGTCTACAAGAGCTAGTTCCAGGGAAGCCTGCAAAGCCACAGAGAAACCCTGTCTCGAGGAGAAAAAAAAAAAGTTGTTCAAGGTCAGCAGAGTGCGATAGCATACTTCTTTAATCCCAGCAGAGGCAAGAGAATATGAGTTTAAGGCCAGCATGATCTACACAGTGAGTTCCAGGACAGGACTACAGAGAGACCCTGCCTAAAAAAACAAAATACAGACATACCAGAAGGAAATTGAGGAAATGACAGTGGTGGAAACTACAGATGATGACAAAAGGCAAATTCAGTATGCACTGGAGGAATTGTAGAATTACATACAACTGTGCAATGAGACATGCCTATATTGACATGAGAAGACAGTCACGGGTTTGGAGATGACTCCTGGCTGAGTGCGAGCTGCTCTCCTAAGAGGACCCTGGTTCCTGGCACCCATACTGCCAACTGCCTGAAACTCCAATTGTAGGAGATACAAAACCTTCTGGCAATTATAGCTATATGTGCACGCAGACACAACCACAAGTTCTAAGAGAGGAAGGAGGTTCCATCCCCAGCACCAACAGGGTGGCTCAGACCCATCCCTAATTCTAGTTCCAGGGGCTCCAACACCCACATCTGACCTCTGTGGGCACCAGGCATTCAGGTGGAGCAGATACACAGGTGAAACATCCATCCATATAATTAACTTTCTCGTTGATTTAGAAGTACATTACCATCCCAAAAACCTATCACTTGATGTTTTGTAAGAATTTTGTGTACACTGGAGACTGAACCCATGTGCTTTTCTTTGAGCATGTCCCCAGCCCTGAGTAAAGTATTGGGGTTTTTTTTGTTTGTTTGTTTTTTGGTTTTTTGTTTTTTTGTTTTTGGTTTTTGGAGACAGGGTTTCTCTGTAGCTTTGGAGGCTGTCCTGGAACTAGCTCTTGTAGACTAGGCTGGCCTCGAACTCACAGAGATCCGCCTGCCTCTGCCTCCCGAGTGCTGGGATTAAAGGCGTGCACCACCAACGCCCGGCCGGGGTTTTTGTTTTTGTAAGACAGGATTTCTCTGGGTAGCCCTGGTTGTCCTGGAACTCTTTGTAGACCAGGCTGGCCTCAAACTCAGAGATTCACCTGCCTCTGCCTCTAGAGTGCTAGGATTAAAGACATGTGCCACCACTACCCAGCATGTAACTCATTGTCTTTGAAACTCATGCTTACAGCAATTTAGTGCTACTTTGATAAGAGTGTGAAGTCATTCAGTACAAATTACTTTGGCCAGGAATACATGTCTAGGACATTGTGGGGTTATTTTTTTGAGACAGGGTTTCTCTGTAGCTTTGGAGGCTGTCCTGGAACTAGCTCTTGTAGACCAGGCTGGTCTCGAACTTAGAGAACTGCCTGCCTCTGGCTCCCAAATGCTGGGATTAAAGGTGTGGCCCACAACACCCAGTTGGTCACTGTGTTTTTAAATTGTATTTTTAAATTCTTCATAGGGTCATATTCTCAAGGATGCTCTGTACAACTGAATGCAGTAATTTGGGGGGGGGGGTTCAACCACAGCCTATATAGTTTCAGGACAGCCCAGAGATAAGTAGACCCTCTCTCAAAAAACAAATTCCTTAAAAAAAAGGTCTCAAACTTCTTCGTTGGGGGGTGGGGGAAACACACAGGTGGCTGGGTTGTCTTTCAATATGCAATCCTGCCTCCAGAAGAGCTGGGATTATAGGCATACACCAGCAAGACCTATGTAAATGGTACTCGGTTCAAAGAAACTCAGGGCAGAGTATGCTATATAGTAGTAGTCTACCAAGTCCGCTACATTCCCATCCTACTACTTGTTTGAAGACAGTAGGTAAGCCACAGTTAACAAACACACCTATTGGCTGATTTGTTGGAAGATGCCAACCAAAACTACTGCATGGCTTTATCAATCTATATTTGAGAATGAGATGGAGTACTTGCTCACCCCCACTTCCTGGAAAAGCTCAAAATATTTTTCTAAGGAGTAAGGAATTTTGTTATTCAGTTAACTTCTCCCAACACAATAAACCAACCCCACCTTAGGTTGTAACTTTCTGCCTCAGGAAGGGAACAGAGATGGAGAGTTAACCACCCAATGGCCATCACCCCTGTGATGGAAGCTCCATCAACTAAAGCTACAGGGTTCCCAGCTTTTTTATTTTGGTTTTTCGAGACAGGGTTTCTCTGTAGTTTTGGAGGCTGTCCTGGAACTGAGATCCGCCTGCCTCTGCCTCTGCCTCCCAAGTGCTGGGATTAAAGGTGTGCGCCACCAAAGCCCAGCTGTTTCCAACTTAAGTGTCTAAGAGCTAGCAATCTCACAGGCATGCTTGGTTCTGAACTTTTGCCATCTTCATCTGGTTACTAACTCATACTTTTTTTTTTTTTTTGGTTTTTCAAGACAGGGTTTCTCTGTGGCTTTGGAGGCTGTCCTGGAACTCACTTGGTAGTCCAGGCTCACAGAGATCCGCCTGCCTCTGCCTCCCGAGTGCTGGGATTAAAGGCGTGCACCACCAACGCCCGGCAACTCATACCCTTTTTAAGTTTTGTGTCCCATCTATCAGGTTGAGCTCTTTATTGGCAAATTCTCAGAATACCTTGGCTTTCAACACGAAGTCAAGTTGAACTGTGAAACATGATAATCTTATGACTGGTATTGTTGTGAGGGATTTGAATTTGCTTCCCTGCCACCTATAATGACAGCAGGAGCTTCTGTGTATACCTGGCTGTCCTAGGAACTCAATCTGTAGACCAGGCTAGCATCAAAGAAGTGATCCACCTGCCTCTGCCCCCAGGCCCATTATCTTTGTTTTGTTTTTTGACTGGATTTCTCTGTGGCTTTGGAGATTGTCCTGGAACTAGCTCTTATAGATCAGGCTGGACTTGAACTCACAGAGATCCACCTCCTGACTGCTAGTATGTGCCATCTTAAAAGCATTATGTGTTATGGTGATGTGTCAGTGCCCCACATGCAGCAAGAGGATGTTACTAGATCTCCAGGAACTGGGAGTTACAGGAGACACCTTATGGGTCTTCAGACTCCAACCTGGGTCCACTGGAAGAACAAACAGTACATAACTCACCGAGCCATCTCTCCAGCCAGAGGGATCCTTTGGCATTTTAACCCTCATCCTTAGTATTCCTATGCTATACCTAAAAGCACTCCGGAGGCAGAGACTAGTTTTTAAGTCTGATTCTGGCCAGCTGATCTACCAATTGATACACATTTAAAACTTAAAAAAAAAAAAGACCAGCTTTCCCCTCCAACCCACTACACATCTTGTATGTTCAGACTCAGATTTGGGATTAGGAAGGTTTTTTTCATTATAAGTATATCCATTATCCATTCAATATCCACAAAATCAAGACAAATAATAAAAAAATTTATTAACAAATATACAAAATACACAGTATCCAACTGTGTCTTACAAAATTCACACATATGCAATACTATACAATACTTACAAGTATATATAAGACTTCCACCTGTATGCAATTTTCTGGTCCATCTGTGTTCCTATAATTTCAAGAGAAACCTCAACTGTGAACGTGTCACCATTAAGCATCTTTCTGTAATGGAGTTTAATTTACTGTCATGATACTCAGGCAGGTAGGCTAATGATGGAGGTCAGGAAATCTCAGTAAAGTGCAGTTTTAGGAACCCCAGCCCTTAGTTTTCCTTTACACAGGTATCCACAGTCCATAAGGACTTTTTTTCTTATCTATTTTTGGTGATCCTGATGATGTCTCTTCAGTAGCAGCTTTAGCTGTTTTCTGTAGCGGCTTTGCTATGGAATTCTGTAAGACAAATTAAAGTCAACTTACCAGAAATGATGAACACAAATTTAAAAAGTTACATAAGTAGATCTAATTTTCAAGGGTAATGTTCGGATACACTTACATTAGAGCTGAAGGCTATGTTTCTTTGTGTAGAAGATTTCTCACTGGGAGTTTCAGTTTCATCTTCAGCTTGCTTTTCTGAGAGCTAGAGGGGTAGAGAATTTTTAAACATAGCCTCAGATTTTGAATACTGTATAAAAAACAGCCCAATTGCACACAAATGTAGATGTGGACACAAACCAAATTCAATCTATTGCCACAGTAAACAAGCTATAGACAACAAAGAAACTGCTGTTTCCACTTAAGACTGACTTAGAAGTAGACAGTTCCCCAGGAATACCTGATTCTTTGTTGTGAATATAACTCATTTTTGAGTAAGTGCAATAGAAAATGCTTTGTTAAAAGAATGGAGGCATTTGCAGAGGGTGCCTCAATCATCTCAAGAAGCACTTCTTGCCTAAGCAAACGGTAGGCGGACCCCAAGGTCACAGACAAACCACCTTCGTTGTACAACTTTTACCTTAAATTTCCATAAAGCAATTTTTTTGAGACCAGGTCTCTTCATCCCCTGGCTGACCTCCTAATTCATTATGTAGCCAAGGATGACCTTGAATAATCCTGTCCCCCAAGTGCTGAGATCACGGGGGTAGAGCACTATACACCCAGTTTACACTATTGGGAACTAACCCTGATGTTATGTACTCTAGACCAACTGAGCTATATCCCCAGACCAAATTATCAACTTTTTAAGATTCAGGTTTCACACCAAATAACTTCTAAGTACAGTGCAATACGCCAATGCACATCCTTTGTAATTCTGGAGAATTGTAATAAACTTATCTGCAAGTGAAGCAGGCCTCTTCTTCTGTAATCACTCAAAACATCTGGAATATATTGCATATATTATGAACGGGACATCTAGAGCACAGATGCCCCACCATTACACAGTGCATCCAGGCTGAATCGTCAAACTACCTTCCACAATAGCCCTAGCCCAAAACTCTAACATGCACATGGGACTACCTTCCACAAAAGCTAAGCTTTACTCTCTGAACATCAACTCTGGCATTTTAACCCATGATCAATTACCAACAGATTTTCTTCATCATTGTCTGGAGACCACATTCATGATTTCTATAAGACAGAAATAAAGCAGATAAACTATACTGTATACTGAACACAGACTTTTGGGAACAATGCTGTAAGTGAGAGCTATTGATAGAACACTCCAGTCTCTAAAGACTAGACAGAGTAAGAAAAAAACAAAGTACTACCAATAATACAGCCAGTGGCTTTACTGTTTTGGAAACTGGCCAAGTGTCAGAATGAAAACAAGTTCATCACCTCTCAGTTTCCTGGAGATGAACTAGTACTTGTCAGATTAAGGTTAGTTTTGTTCTGGACAAATGATTTAAGATGTCCCAGGAGGGCTGTCTACAGTAAACTCTTAACAGGGGAAGGAGATTTGCTGGCAGTAGCCCTCTGAAGATACTTACCTCCATCTTTGCGCCACTGCTCAAAACAGCTGCTCTCTGGCTTGTTTCCTTGGCTACAGTTCGGAGACTCGCTGGCAAGTCAAAGTTGGCTGTTCCAAGAGCTTTTGCTGCATTGGCTTTTGCTATTTCTAGCAGCTCCATTCGATCTAAGAGCATTAAGACATTCATTACCCTTTAGTTCAGTAAGCCCCCAAATAAAACAGTAATGCTTTCCTTTTAATGAGCATTGTTGGACAACAAAAATAACAATTTTACTCTTTGGACAACAAAAATAACAATTTTACTCTGAGGAAAAAAAGAAGCTTTCCAAAACTACCTCAAAAACTCACTTTTATTTTTTTTTCTCCTGGTTTTGAGACAGTGTTCTTCTGTTCAACAATCCTGGCTGTCCTGGAACTCACTTTGTAGACCAGGCTGGCCTCGAACTCAAGAAGATCCACCTGCCTCTGCCTCCAGACTGGCTACAGTTAGCTGTCCTGACAAACAGCACTGTTTTGTCTTCAAGTATTTCTGTAAACTAGGGGGTTTGGTAACTATATAAGTCCAATTAACACTACTATTAATCTTGACAGTGTTAAGCATTCATATTCAAAGTTTATTATTTATTTTATAGTAATACCAACTCACCTGAAAGTTAGCAAAATCCGATCTTTTTTTTCCAGTAAATCGTCTAAAAATGTTTTAAGTTCTTCCCACCTTAAACTAAGTCATCAACATACGTTAAAGGTCGTACTAAAAACAGCCTACTATTAGAAGAGAGAAACTCGCCGGGCGTTGGTGGCGCACGCCTTTAATCCCAGCACTCGGGAGGCAGAGGCAGGCGGATCTCTGTGAGTTCGAGACCAGCCTGGACTACCAAGCGAGTTCCAGGACAGCCTCCAAAGCCACAGAGAAAACCCTATCTCGAAAAACCAAAAAGAAGAAAGAAACTCCTCTCTTTGGGACAGCGAGACCATAAATGCACTTATAATTTTGGTAATTATTGTACCACCACACCTGGCTTTCACTCTATTTACCAGCTAAAAATATTCTCCTCTTCCCCCTCCAAGAAATCTGAAGTTTTCTGGCACCGAAGTAAACTCTCTGGGAAAGCGCCCGGGGCCGGGGCAGTCCAGTTAAAAGGTCCCGGGTTTAATCTTACCAATCCAACTAAACCACCTGACTAGTCCCTGGCCGACGACGGCTGGATGAGAGCGTCCTCCATTCTTCATTCCCAGAACCCCACCGGCACAAACGTCAAAGTGACACCAAGACCCACCTTTCTCGCTTAGGCGGAAGGGAGTTCTGCTCCTGCTGCGCGACCTGGTTCTGGATCTTTCCCTCCACCGGGGGCGGTCCTCGGGGTACACCGTGCGGCCGAACCCGTAGTAGCGACGGCCGCGCGTGATCGCGTAGTACGACCTCCTGTGATACGACCTCCCGCGGGAGCGCGACCTGCTCCGGGACCGGCAGGGCGACGGCGACTGGCAGTACCTCCGCGACGGCCCGTAAAAGCTACCTCGGTGATAGCGGCGGCCTCGGGACCGGGACCGGCTGCGTGAGTACGACCGCGAGTAGCGCCTGTACTTGCGCTGGTGGCGCCTGCGGGACCGGGACCGGGAGCGCTTGCTCCGCCGCGACCGGCTATGGCTGCGCGACGAGCGGCTGGCGCTGCGCGAGTCGGGGCCGGAGCTGCGGGACGAAGAGCGGCTGCGGGAGCGCGACGACAGGCGGCTGGAGCGGCCCGAGCCCGACGCCGATGGTGACGCTTTCTCCTGCGGAGAGCCGGGCCACATATCGTTTACGTACTTTGACACGGCGGCCGAGGACGTGACTTCCTTCTCGGAAGCGGGCTCCTTCCGCAAACGCAACGGCGTCTAGGAACGACGGCAAAGGGCAAAGGTCAATCCCGGAGGCGGGAGCGCGCGTGCGCGAACAGGCGAGCCGGTGCACTCGATCCCTCGCGACTGCGCCACCCGACTCACCTTAAACCGGTGACGTGCTCGCAAAGTCGAGAGGAAAGCCTAGTGGACACTTCCCTCTCAGACCAGGGTCCGAAGGCGTCCGCGTTTACCGTTCCCACCGAACTGAGAGCACGGCAACCTCCACCTACGAAGTCCGGACGCGAACTGAACCTACTGCGGACGTCAGCATCGAAAATACTAGAAGCTAGTGCGGAGCATGCGCGCAAACGTCAGCGCGGTGGGGTGGGCTCTCCTCTCATCCAATCGCCATTCGACGTTGGCGCTCTGCCGGTCGCTTCCGGCTACGCCTTCGAGACACGCATGCGTAGAATCCGCCATTCCGTTCCACCCCCGCCCCACCCCATCCCGGCGTTGTACATCCGGGTATTTTGGGAAATTGTTGTTTTCAGGGATGTTTGTTTGTGGGTTAGATAATTGGTTGGTTTCGGGGTTTGATGTTCTGAGACAGGGACTAGCTTTATGTAGCTCAATCAGGCTTCAAACTCGTTGCAATCCTCCTGCCCCTGCCTCCCCAGTACTAGGATTACCGGCCTGTGCGGTACCACGCCCAACTTTGTTTTCCTTTGTTTTGTTTTTTTGGTTGCTCCACCCAAATTCGGGGGAAGGTGGGGTCGCCAACAATTCAGCGTGCAGACAACAGCGACCCGACCCCACGTCCCCGCTCCCCCTTCCCCCTGCTCCCCGGACCGGTGATGTCCATCCCCCTCCCGTTCCCCACCCTCATGCCCATCCCGGCTCAGCTGCGGCCTGGCTGTCCTTCCTGACCTTCTCCAGGGTAGCCTGGGAAGGCACATCATAGGGCCCCGGAAATGCAGTTTCAGTATAGAAAGGGTGCCTTAACTTGCTTATTTGAGCTACTAAATGTAATTGAAGTCAAGACAGAAATTCCAAAACAACCACAGTTGACCTTTGAGGAGTAAGAGTGGCTGATAGCTGGGTGGTGGTGGTGCACTTGAGATGGGAGGCAGACATAGGTGGATCTTTGTGAGTTCGAGGCCATCCTGGTCTACACAGTGAGTTACAGGACAGCCAAGGCTACAAAGAGAAACCCTGTCTTGAAAAAGCAACAAAAAAGAATGGTTGATAGGTCTATTTTATATGTGTGTAGAAGCCTAAGTCTCTTGAACCGGAGTTACCGGCGGTTGTGGGCTACCAAGCATGCTGCGGGTAGTGGGGACCCCCCTCCCCACAGCCCGTGGGCTCTGAAACACAGCAAAAGCTTTTACTCCTAATAATGAGCCGTTTCTGCAGCTAATAGGTCTGTCCTAAGATTTAAGTGTGATAAGTGCAGGACGTTTAAACTTATTTCCGGGGCAGATTCCAAACATTCATTTTCATAAAGCATAACAGTGACCTTAAAAAATGTTGGCAAAGGTGTTGTAATTTAAGAAAAGTGTGAGAGAAAGACGCTATGCAACAGGGTTCAAGCATAGGGTTTGTTGGTTTGTTTTTAATTAGGGAAAGAGATCATCAAAAGGGGAAAGAAACAGCAGGGGAGAGAGAGAGAAAAGAGGGAGGGAGGGAGGGAGGGAGGGAGGGAGGGAGGGAGGGAGGGAGGGAGGGAGGGAGGGAGGGGAACAGACAGGGATAGAAAGAGAGAAGGATGGAGGGGATCAGGGCCTTTTAAAAGGGAACATAGTGAATATGCACAGGTGGTGCTCTTAGTGGCTGCAGCTGAGGGTGTATCCTGTCAGAACCCCAAGAACAGGCGTAAGGATTCAGGCATTATGCTGGCCTGCCCCTGTCACCTGGCAGAATGCATTCAAGCAGTACTCTGGTCAGCTCAGGGTTCTATGAAAGACCCCTGCCCGCTTATGCTCCTCTCTTCCTTTCCTGCTGTTCCCCTGGGGCAGACAGGACTTTTCCTCACTCCCTCTTCTCTTCTGTCCTCTCTCTGTCTCTTTACCCATTTCTCTTTTCTCCCTGCCAATTCCCTTTCTAACAACTTCCCACTAAGTTCTGTCTGCCTGGCATGCTTGTCTCCCACCTTGGTCACCCTTGTGTGTCATGGAATCTGCCAATGTTCCCCTCACAGTTTGTCATAAAACAACAAGTGAAGCTGGGCATTGGTGGCTCACACCTTTAATCCCAGCACTCGGGAAGCAGAGGCAGGAGGATCTCTGTGAGTTTGAGAGCAGCCTGGTCTACAAGAGCCAGTTCCAGGACAGCCTCCAAAGCCACAGAGAAACCCTGTCTCGAAAAACAAAAACAAAAAAGAATTTTGAAACAGAGGGAAAGTGTGAAACAGGACTTTCCCCTAATACAGAATGCCAGTGTCTTTGTGTTCAGTTAAAGGGGCAGGTGTCATCCCCAGAGCATCAAGACCACAGCCAGAGAAGCAGCAGAGACCTCCACACAGGGAAAGCTGGATCCTTGACATCACTACAGGAAAGAGCTTTAGGAGCAGCCAAGTTGAAGGGGAGGAAGAGCCTATTAAGGAATTGTAACATACATGTCAGTATGAGAATAGGTGCGTGCTCAGGAAAAGGATAAGACACAGCCAGGAAGAATGGTTCACTACGCTGTCTTTACCAAGCCCCGGTGCGGGAGGCACCTATGTTACAAAGCTGGCTCAGCAGTTATGGGCACTTGCAGCTTGTCCCAAGGACACCAGCTCAGTTTCCAGCATCCACTAGGTGGCTCAGAACCATCTGTAACTCCAGTCTGAGGGTATCTGAGGGTACTTCTGACCTCTGAGGACACCAGACACACATTTTATTTTTTCAAGACTGTGTTTTTCAACCAGTGATGGTGGTGCACGTCTTTAATCCCAGCACTCAGGAGGCAGAGGCAAGCAAATCTCTGTGAGTTCGAGACCAGCCTGGTCCACAAGAGCTAGTTCCAGGACAGCCTCCAAAACCACAGAGAAACCCTATCTCAAAAAAAAAAAAAAGTGTTTTTCTGTAAGCCTGGCTGTTCTGGAACTCACTTTGTAGACCAGGGTGGCCTCAAATTCATCTAAGTCCTGCTGCCTCTACCTCCTGAGTGCTGAGTCTAAAGCATCACTAAGCCCAGCTCAGACTCACATTGTTAATAGAAAAAGCAAGAGAGACAGTATCTCACACTAAAGCAAGGGCTGTCCTGAAAGGTATCATGTAGTCCAGGCTGGTCTCAAAGTCACAACACACTTGCCATTGTGTCATAAGCAGACTATGTCAGAAACATAGATGGACACATTATGCCTTCCCAGACTGTCAGAACTCGCTGAATAATAATAAGTTCACAAGCTGTGTCACCTTCATCAGCAGCAATTTGCCAAGTACCAAGTGAGCTATCTCCCCAGCCCTAAATACAGAATCCTTTATACCAATCTTCACTACTGCCATTATCTCTCTGTGACACAGCACACAGCACATAATAAGTCTATATATGTGTATATTTAGGTTACAGGATGTCCCAGGAGTGTTAAAGAGATCATAGCTGAGTCCGAGGCTTTTGAGAGACATCACACAAAAGGCATGCAGAAGGCTGATAGGGAGACGGAGAACTTCTCTGTGGGAATAAGATAATGAAACCCTCCCTATAGGAGGTCTGCTGCAGTTGCAGGGTCAAAGCTGAGCAGAACCCAGGGTGGAGCTCCCCCAGTCAAGGTGCAGGACTATTGAGACCAAAGAGGCTGGGGAGGCGAAAGGCAGGACAGGGTTCAGATGGGTAAACAGGCAGATAAATGGATGGCAGAACCACACGGGTGGGTAACAATTCTAATAGGCTACCTCAGCATCAGGGAGGCCAGGTGGAGCTGATGCTGAGTTTTTATACTCCACAGTGGGTTTTATTTTTTTATTGTTTGGTTTTTTTCAAGACAGGGTTTCTCTGTAGCTTTGGAGCCTGTCCTCCACCTGCCACTGCCTCCTGAGTGCTGGAATTAAAAGTGTGAGCCACCACTGCATGTTCAAAAAAGACTTTAAGTCACAAGAATGCTAATCAGACAGAGATGGCAGTAAGTGGCTACTGAGGGGGCTAAAGACAGTCCAGAACAGTCGGGTGGATCTCTGTGTGTTCAAGGCCAGCCTGATCTATAGAGCAAGTTCCAGGATAGGCTCCAAAGCTACAGAGAAAACCCAGTCTCAAAAAATGAACAAACAAAAGCCAAGAACAATTTGGCCCTGGCCCTGGCCCTGTCACATTCCAGCTCTCCAGTCATGGAAGTTCTCATCAGCCAGTCAGGCCTGCAGGATGCTTGGCCTATGTACAGCTCTCTTTCTCTCCTTCATGCTCTCCTGTAATTTCATGTACAGAGACTAAGATCTCTCATTTGTATTGGTCTTCATAACAGAAGGAGAAATGTCCCCCATAGTCTGGGGCATTTGAATATTTGGTCCCCAGTTAGGGGCACTGTTTGGGTAACTGTAGGTGGCTCAACCTTGTTGGAGGAAGTAGCTGGAAGTATGAGGGTAGATTACAAAGCCTTGTCCAGTTGCAAGTTCCTTAGTTCTGCCTCGTGCTTATGATTGAAGACATAAGCTCTCAACTTCCTGCTCAAGTCACTTGTCACCCTCCCTGCCCACCCCATGTTGGGTTCTTGCCTCTATAAGCAAAAACAACCTCTTATCTTTAAGTTGCATTGATCGTGTTTGTTTGTTTGTTTTATCACAGCAGCAGCAAAGCAACCAATACAGCCAGTAAAGGTCAAAAAGAGCAGAGATGACACAAAGAAAAGCTAGTTCTTAGCTTCGTAGAAATCTTAGTAAGAGCTGGTAAAAAAATGTTATCAACGCCGGGCGGTGGTGGCACACGCCTTAATCCCAGCACTCGGGAGGCAGAGGCAGGCGGATCTCTGTGAGTTCGAGGCTGGGCTGGACCGACAACCTCGAAAACAATACAGAGAAACCCTGTCTCGAAAAACCAAAAAAAAAAAATGTTATCAATAGACATTTAAGAGATTTCATTAAATTTCTGTCTTTGGACAGTTGGTGGTAGTACATGCCTTTGATCTCAGCACTTGGGAAACAGAAGCAGGTGGAGCTCTGTGAGTTCAAGGAGAGCCTGGTCGACAAAGGGAGTTCTGGGACAGTCAGGGCTACACAGAAAAGGTGGACGTGGGGGAGCTCTGACTTTTGGAGCTGGGGATGATGAGGAATGTCCTTCTTTATGCTGTCAATGTATGTTTCTCTTACTGGTTGAAGAATAAAGCTGTTTCAGCCAATGGATATGTAGGATTTAGCCAGGTGAGAAATCCAAACAGGGACAGAGAAAGGTAGTAGGCAGGGTTGAGGAGATTCCATGTAGCTGCCGAGGAAGCAAGAAACCCAGGCACCACCGGTATGTCAAGACCCCATGGAGATACATAGATTAATAGAAATGGGTTAATTAACAGAGAGCTTGCCAATAAGAAGCCTGAGTCATAGGCCAAGCAGTTTATAATTAATAAAAGCCTCTGTGTGCTTATTTGTGACTGAATGGCTGTGGGGCCAGGCAGGACAGAAACTTCCCATCTACATGGGGCATATGGCTCACTGGGTAGGGTGCCAATTTAGCATGTGGAGGCCCAGCGTAGTAACATCGTCAGCAGGGATATATAGATAGTAAATACACACACACACACGCACAGAGAGAGAGAGAGAGACAGAGACAGAGAGAGAGAGAACTGCTTGACCTAGACTCCCCTGCCTTGAGACATTAACCAGTAATTAGGCAGTCACAATAAATCTCTATCTTAAGGTTAAAAAAAAAAAAACATGTCCATTTAAAAAATAGGCCATGGCCCAGGGCCTGGGGAGATGGCTCAGTGGTTAAGAGTACTGGCTGTTCTCGTGGACCACTTGGTTCAATTCCCAACACCCACATGGATGTTGACAATGGCTGTAACTCCAGTTCCAGGCAGCCAGCGCCATTCACACAAGTGGTGCGTAAATGTACATGCAGGCAAAATTGAAAGGTTCAGGCATTACGCTGGCCTGCCCTGTTACCTGGCAGGATGCGCTCAGGCAACACTCTGGCCAGCCCAGAGTTCCGTGAGAACCAGGCAGGTGCAAAGGACCCCTTTAAAGGACTGACCCCTGCCCGTTTACTCTCTCTTACTCCTCTTCCTCTCTTACTCTCTCTTACTCTTTTGCTCTTTCTCTTACTCTCTCTCTCTCTCATCTCTCTCTCTCTGCTCCCCTTTTCCCTCCCCGTCCACCAATAAACTCCATGTGGGATCGTTGAGTCGCGGTCTGTGTCTCCTTACTGGATAAACCTAAACGTTTTAGCAACAAAAATACTCATCATATTGACTAGGTTGTGGGTCTAGGGCCAGGGTTAAGTAGTAGAGCCCTGGGTTCCAGCCCCAGCACTGAGGGGCAGAGGGGAGAGCACGATACTAATTTAATAGACTAATCCGCTAATGTCCCACCCCAAGCTACAGAGTTTAATGCATCAAAAGAAAAATATGGGTCTGGGGAGATGGTCCCTGCTCCTAGTTCTGTCAGGCAGTGAACCACCCCCACCTCTTATGTGCCACAGGTACCTGACGCTACCTGCCACCCACATAGACCTGTGATCAGAGTGGGGCCAACCCCAGTCTCATTAAAGTCACCACTGGGCCTGAAAAATGGCTCAGCAGATAAAAGTACTTGCTGCAAAGTCGGAAAACCTGAGTTTGATTCCAGGGACCCATACGGTGGACGGAGAGACCCGACTCCCGCAGGTTGTCCTGTCTGACCACACAATAAGAACAATAAATAAATAAAAGTGTAACAAAAAATTAAAACAACTAGTAAGGTCAGACTGTCGCTTCCTTTCCTCGGTCCCAAAAGGAAGGCTCAACTCTAGTATTTCCCACGGTGACCAGAGGGACTAGAAAAGGGGGTTTGGGCCTGCGCAGACTTGTCGGCGCGGGGGCGTGGCCCACAGACCCTGCCCTGGGACCCGCCCTCTACTTCAGATCCGCATGCGCACTGGCTCGAGGGCGGGGTCTGTACATTGACATCCGGGAGTCTGGTTGCCTGTGGCTGTTTTGTTTTCTTTTGCAGAACTGGAGTTGCGAGAGGCCACTGAAAGCGGCGACTCCCGGCTCCAGACTTGGATGTGAGTGCGGACGGGAGGGCGGTGTAGCGAGCCGGGCCGGGCTCGAACTCGCGGTGGTGCGGGCCGCCCCCCAGCACTTAGACACCGCCACCGCGGTTGAGCTGGAGCGACCTGCCCTGCTGCTTCCTGTCGTCGGGTCTCGACCCAGAATTGCAGAGCTGGGCATGCAGACCCCGCGACAGAGCAGCGCGGCCGGCCCACGCGAGGCCCCGCCCTGTTCCTCCAGCGTCTGCAGGGCGGGTCTGCCTTTGAGGTTTCAAGTAATTGTGCAGCGAAAAATGGACTCGGGTGGAGCACTTGCTGTGAACCGACAATTAACACATAGTGGGTTGCTTTTCTTTCCAAGCATTAGGTTAAAAAACAACAACAAAAAAAAGAGTGTATTTTCAGACCCGAAGTCATCACAAAGGTATATCAGTTTTTATTAGCTTCTTTAGAGGAAGCTAAAACTGAAATCGTTACTTTTTAGGGAGTTGTGTGGGAATTGGGGTGTTCATTCACTGTGAGCCAGTTGTGTATAATTGAGGTTTTCCCATTATCCTGTGAAGTAAAGATCACGTGATGTTTCTCCGACCGGGTCTGCACAGTTGAGCTTGAAGGAGGTTTTTATATAACTTGTTAACACAATGTCGTTTAGCTGTGGTAATTTGCCAGCACATTCTTCTTTTTAGTCTGAATTAATTTCAGTTCTGCACTTTTGTGGGGGGATGCTGAAACATTGTTAGAAGCAGAGTTAGAGCTACTAAATGAAATGAATGCCTTTTACATAGAGAAGAAATGAAACAGAAAGGAGGTAGTAATGAAACCCGTAGTTCATATTTTCTTTCTTTCTTCCTTTTTTTTTTCGAGACAGGGTTTCTCTGTGTAACTTTGGATCCTGTCCTGGAACTCACTCTGTAAACCAGGCTGGCCTCGAACCCACAGAGATTCGCCTGCCTCTGCCTCCTGAGTGATAGGGCTAAAGGTGTGCGCCACCGCTGCCCCACATACTTTTCCTTTAGTAATCTGGGCATGAAAAAGCACACCTTTATGACAAAATGTGCAAATTCCTAGGGGAAATATTTTTCATCCAAGTACATGTTTTTAAAATTAGAACCAAAGTTTATCAGGTCCTCATTCAGCAAAACCAAATAGTAACCTTAGTTTGGAACTAACACTATAGAAAACAGTCCTGGAGGACTAAGCATCATTGTGCTTGCCTACTTAAAGGACTGCTTAAATTAATTTAACAATGGAATTGGAATAATAAAAGATGACAACTTTGAGTAGCTCAGTACATTTTTGTTAAGGTTTGGGTAATCACATTCAATCACATTATGTAAATATGCTAAAACCATCCTATTTTGTTTTCTTGGTTTTGGGTTTTGTTAATTGTTTTGTTTTTTGAGACAGACTGGCCTGAAACTCATTGGCTGGCCTCTACCTGAGTGTAATCGTCTTGCTGTCTTCTTCAGCCTGCCAAATGCTAGGATTACAGGCATAAGCCACCACACCACTCCCAGATCCCCGAACACCATGTTTTAAATTACAAGTATATATGTGCTGAGTGAATCAAAATTTTGTTTCCCAGAGTCAGAATTTGGCAGTTTATCAAAAGTTACATAAAGTCTGGCTTGATTCTCACATTTATAATCCTAGTATATGGGAGGTTGAGGCAGGAGGATTACCTGGAGTGTGAGAGCAGCCTGGGAAAGACCCTGCATCAAACACACAAACATACACACACCCCGTACCAAAAAACAAAACAAAACCTAGGAGCAGGGACAGGCTGGGGACTTAATTTATCTGAAGAGTGCTTCCCCAATATGTATGAAGCCCTAAATTTAATCCAAAGTACTTCACTCACCCCAAAAGCTACACCAGATATTCTGAAGAAATATGTAGAGCTAGAATAAAAATAGTTTGTAACTTGTATTAGATTACAAATGAGCATTATTTTTCAGGAGCGCCTCCAGGTTTGAAGCAAATAAACAGAAGTACTTTACTTGGCTGTGTTGATCTTGTTTTAGTGACCTGAAAAGATGTCTGGATTTCTAGAAGGCGCAAGATGTTCTGAATGCATGGACTGGGGTGAGAAGCGGAATACTATTGCTTCCATCGCTGCTGGCATTCTAGTGAGTGTCCTTGAGGCTGTGGCCCTTCCTATGTTGATGTGTGTCAGTGTAGACCTTTTGGGTTGTGTGTGTGTGTGTTGGCTTTAAAATGTATACTTAGGCCAGGTAGTGGTGGCACACACCTTTAATCCCAGCACTCGGGAGGCAGAGGCAGGCGGATCTCTGTGAGTTCGAGGCCAGCCTGGTATACAGAGTGAGTTCCAGGACAGCCTCCAAAACAATACAGAGAAACCCTGTCTCGAAAAACAAACAAACAAAAAAAAAGAAAGGGTTTCTCTGTATTGTTTTGGAGGCTGTCCTGGAACTTGCTCAGAGATCCGCCTGCTTTTGCCTCCCAAGTGCTGGGATTAAAGGCATGTGCCACCAATGCCCGGCGAATTTTATTGTTTTATATATTTTCCTTTAATAATAACCAGAAAAAATTAGTTAGGTAATATATAATCTCATGTTCAAATTGAATTTAAAAATCATATCAGAAACCACCAAAGATCAGATTGTAGTAACTAGAAATAGAGAATTGCAGACCTGTTGTTTCATGATACCAAGATGTAGCTAAGAGTCTTCCAGTGATAACTGTCCTTCCCATGAACGTCCTTGTTTTGGCAGGGAGGGGTGTATTGCTGTATAGCCCAGGCTGACCTCACTCTCAGCCCTCCTCCTGCCTCAACCTCTCTGGAGTGCTTTGTGCTGCCATACCCCACATTATCTGTCTGGAGACACATTGTAGACCTGCAGCAGGGTGCTTCTTCTGTCAGCTGGGATCTGACGCAGACTCAATGCAGTTATACTGAAGCCCTCTGAGCATTGAAGTTTATAGGCGTGAACAACCCCACCCAACTTGGCTTTCCTCCTTCTCCAGGACATGTAACTTACAGGTCACAAAATCAGCCCACAGATTTGTAAAGTCTGTGCTATTGGAGGCAGATTCCGGGTACCTGATATTTATTCAGCTGGTGAGCAGCCTACAGATTGAAGTGTGAAGCTGCTGGAATGGTTGATGAAATATGGAAATTCATTTGAAGGGGTTTCTTGGTTTCAACACCCCGTAGCAACCCGTGTGCTGTTTGTTACTGTCATGGCTCGTTGATGTCACCTTACTTTGTCTGTTTTTAGTTTTTCACAGGATGGTGGATCATCATAGATGCAGCTGTTATTTATCCCAATATGGAGGAATTCAACCACTCATACCATGCTTGTGGCGTCATAGCAACCATAGCCTTCCTCATGTAAGTGTGGTGTTACCTAGAGTGTCACAAACTAAATGATCCCAGACACAATTTAAAATTCTAGTAGGTGCTGGGCTGTGGTGGCGCACGCCTTTAATCCCAGCACTCGGGAGGCAGAGGCAGGCGGATCTCTGTGAGTTCAAGGCTGGACCGATAGCCTCCGAAACAATACAGAGAAACCCTGTCTCATAAAAAAAAAAAAAAAAGAAAGAAAAAAATTCTAGTAGGTAAGAAAGACAGCCCAGCACAGTGGCACATTACTGAAACCTACAATCCCAGCACTCAGGAAACAGAAACAGGAGGATTGCTGCAAGTTTCAGGACAGCCTGGTCTACGCATGAAGCTCCATACCAGCCAAGGCACTGATCTCAGCAAGCAGTGTCTAGAGGGATGGGACCTCTGTGCACAGAGCGGGCCCAGCTTCGGTGCTCGCCTGACAGCAGAGCTCCAGGCACTTGTCTTTGGTGTTCAGCTAGTGCACAGCACTCTGCTCTCCCCATTTTTATGAACATGAGGGTTTAAGTTTTATTTGTTTTTATGTGCATGAGTGTTTTGCTTGCATGAATGTGCACATTGTGTGCACAGTGCCTGCAGATGCCAGAAGGGGGTGTTTAGTACCCTAGGATTGGAATTAGAGAGTGGTAAGCTATGTGAACCCTGGAAACCCAAACCAGGTCTATGCAGGAGCAGCAGGCACTAAACCACTGAAATCTCTCTCTAGCCCCAAGTTGAAACTTTTTTTTCAAGACAGGGTTTCTCAGTGTTGCCTTGGTTCTAATGGAACTTGCTCTATAGACCACGCTGGCCTCGAAATCACAGAGACCTGCCTGCCTCCGCCTCCCAGGTGGTATAAAGGCCTGCGCCACCACCGTGGGCTCATACATGTTGATGAATGTCCCTCCAGACTTCCTCTTTTTTTTTTTTTTTTTTTTTTTTTTTTTTTTGGTTTTTCGAGACAGGGTTTCTCTGTGGCTTTGGAGGCTGTCCTGGAATTCGCTTGGTAGTCCAGGCTGGTCTCGAACTCACAGAGATCTGCCTGCCTCTGCCTCCTGAGTGCTGGGATTAAAGGCGTGCGCCACCAACGCCCGGCCAGACTTCCTCTTTGATTTGCTCTCACTCACACATATTTGCAAAATTGACTGGGCAGTGGTATGTGCACACCTTTAATCCCAGTACTCAGGAGGTAAAGGCAGGAGGATCTATGAGTTCGAGGCCAACCTGGTCTACAAAGGTAGTTTCAGGACAGCCAGGGCTACACAGAGAAACCCTGTCTCGAATAAATGGAAGAATGAATAGAAGATACTCCAATGAGTGGAGTCAGAGATGGCAGGCACCCTCAGGTGCACAAGCAGGGCTGAGGCAGGGTGGGCCAAGGGTCCCCACAGGAGGGCAGTCTCACATAGGCACTAGGGCCACACAAGGTGAAGGTCTGTGGTGGGAACAGAAGGGTGGGAGTCTCAGTGGGGTGGGAAGACTGTTCGTGTTGGAGGAAGACCACCCAAAGAACAGGTACACCCCACAGAGCACACCTTGTTCCCAGAGAACAGGTACACCCCACAGAGCAAACGTGGCTCCTGATCTTGTTGTATTTGAACAGGGTTCACTTCTTGTCCAGAATGGTCTTGAACTCAAGACAGTTCTCCTGCCTCTGTTTTCCATGTTCTGAGACAAGTTTTTGAGAATTTTTTGTTGTTTGTTTTGTTGTTGGTGGTGGTGGTTTGGTTTGGTTTTTCAGGACAGGATTTCTCTGTGTAGCCTTGGCTATCCTGGAACTCACTCTGTAGACCAGACTGGCCTCAAACTTAGAAATATGCCAGCCTCTGTCTTCTCAGTGCTGGGATCAAAGGCGTGCACCACCACTGCCCAGCTGAAGATTAATTTTTTGAAAAAATATTTATTTATTTATTACATATACAGTGTTTTGCCTACATGCCAGAAGAGGGCACCAGATTGAATTGTAGATGGTTGTGAGCCACCATGTGGTTGCTGGGAATTGAACTCAGGACCTTTGGAAGAACAGTTAGTGCTCTTAACGTCTGTGCCATCTCTCCAGCCCCTGAAGATTAATTTTTAACAATTATGTATAAGGGTATGTGCATATGAGTGCAGATCCCCCTAGAGCCCCAGTTACAGATGGTTGGTGAGCTAGGATGTGAACTCGGGTCCTCTGCTTTGCAATGCATGCTCTTAACTGCCAAGCTGTCACTCAGTTTTTTACAAGCATTTGAATTGCCCAAAAAAAATTGTTAGAACTAGGTTTGGTGGCTACATGCCGTAGATTCTGCCTCAATAAGTTTAGGGTGAGGACAGAAGCTTTCAAACAATACCATTTCTCCCAGTCTAGACCACAGTTGTTGGCTCCAGGACATGTCTCACTTGAAGGGACTTCCTTAAGTGACTTGAGTCATGTGGACCCATGACTCAAGACTTAGGAGGCCTCACCTTGAATTTGGACAACTCTAGCTTATTGCATTTAATAATCTGATGTTATAGACAGCTTCTCCTTGGAGGGAAAGCCCCTGACTTCTCGCTTTTCCTCCTCCCACAGGATTAACGCAGTGTCGAATGGACAAGTACGAGGTGACAGCTACAGTGAAGGCTGTCTCGGCCAGACAGGTAAAATAGGCCCTGGCCTCTTACCATGAATCTTCTTCCTTGAAGTGAGATGACTACACAGAAGGGTGCTTGTCAAGCTGCTTGGGCCCTGGTCCAGGACAGGGTGCTGGATTCCAAGGCATAGGTCACAGCAAACTATGAATGCAAAAACCACCAGGCTTGAATGTATGACCTCAGCAATAATAAGTAGCCTTAACTGTCTCCAGGCTGCAGCAGAGAGAGGAGCTGGCAATATTTGCAAAGCAGAGTCTGAAGCACATTAAATGACCTTTATTTGGTTGTATTAGCTCTTTTTGTTTGTCTGTTTTTCTAGACAGGATCTCACTATGTGGCCATGGCTGGCCTGGAACTATAGGTGTGCATCACTATACCTGGCTTGCATTAGCGCTTTGAAATAGTTTGTAATCTTAGACCCCCTTTTTTTTTAATGTGTGTGGATGTTTTGCCTATGTGTTTGTTTGTATGTGTACCACATATGTGTCTGATGACTGCAGAGGCCAGAAGAGAGTGTTGGATCTCCATGTGGGTGCTGGGAACCAAACCTAGGTCCTCCAGAAGAGCAGCAGTGTTTTTAATCTGCTGTGCCTTTTCTAAGCTCTGCATGTAGCTATTTAAGAAAGTTCAAGGGATGCCATTGGGTCATCAGACTTGAATAACAAGCATATTACCTTCTGAGCCATCTCATTGGATTTGAGACACGATCTTGGGTAGCCTATGTTAGCTTCCAACTCTATGCAACCAAGAATGGCCTAGAACTTCTGATCCTCCTGCCTCAACCCCTCAAGAGTGTGGATCATAGACGTGTACCGTCTTGCTTGGCCCATTGTGTTTTTTTGTTTTGGTTTGGTTTTTTTTGTTTTGCTTTTTTGGTTTTTTGAGACAGGGTTTCTCTGTATTGTCTTGGAAGCTGTCCTGGAACTCACTTTGTAGACCAGGCTGGCCTCGAACTCACAGAGATCCACCTGCCTCTGCCTCCCTAGTGCTGGAATTAAAGGTGTGAGCCACCAACGCCCAGCCATGGGTTTTTTTTAATGTTGGTTTATTTCTTTTTGTTGTTTTGAGATAGGGTTTCTCTGTGTTGTCCTGACTGTCCTGGAACTCACTCTGTAGACCAGGCTGGCCTTGAATTTGGAGATCAATCAACTCTGACTCCCAAGTGCTGGCATTAAAGGCATGTGCCGCGGCCACCAGTTGTGTGTATGTACGTTATGTCATGTTTCTGAGAATATGTATACTATATATGATTGTTTTTTTTTTTTGAAACAGAGTCTCTGTAGCATTTGCTAGCCTACACCACACCTCACTGTGTAGTTCAGGCTAGCATTCCCTCTACCTCAATCGCCCATATCTGTTGGGGGAGGAATGAGTGTGGGTGCACACATGCATGTGTGGAGGTTAGAGGACAGCTTATTAGAGTCAGTTCTCTCTTGTTACCATTTGGATTGAGGATCAGGCTTGGCCACATGCGCCTTACTTGAGTGTCGTCCCCCCCTCCTCCAGCCCTTTTGTTTTTGAGGCAGGGTCTTATGTAGCATAGACTAGCCTTGAACTTCAGACCCTCCTGCCTCTAATTGTTGGGATCACAGGCATGCACACACATTCAGCCTGGACTTTGGTTGTCTTTGTGAAGTCCCACAGCTGTCTGCTGAGCGGCTGTGGTAACATGGTGTCTTTGCAGGCGCTCGCATCTGGCTCTTCATCGGTTTCATGTTGGCCTTCGGATCCCTGATTGCATCCATGTGGATTCTCTTTGGAGGTTATGTTGCTAAGGGTAAGGAAATGCTGGCTACATTTTAATCTCATTTTACATCAAAATTGTCTACTTGGCCGGGTGGCGGTAGCTGGCACAGGCCTTTAATCCCAGCACTGGGGAAGCAGAAGCAGGCGGATCTCTGAGTTTGGATCTCTGTGAGTTCTAGGCCAGCCTAGTCTACAGAGTGAGTTCCAGGACAGAGGCTCCAAAGCTACACAGAGAGAAAAAAAAAAAAAGAAAAGAAAAGAGGTAAAAACTACTTTAGGATAACCTTTTTTTTTTTTTGTGGTTTTTCGAGACAGGGTTTCTCTGTAGCTTTGGAGACTGTCCTGGAACTCACTTTGGAGACCAGGCTGGCCTCGAACTCAGAGATCCGCCTGCCTCTGCCTCCTGAGTGCTGGGATTAAAGGCGCGCGCCACCAACGCCCGGCCTAGGATAACCTTTTTTAAAAATAATATTTTATATGTAGGTGAGCCAACTATTGCAATGTATTTTACCTGGAGACATCTTCTCCTGTAATCAGTAAATAGTTTTGCATGTTTTTTTTTTCTTCTGACGTGGTGCTTTGAAGGCATGGGATACTACTCCCAAGCCCTGCTGTCTTCAGTCCTGTGACCCGAGAGGAGCAGCTTAAAAAGAGAGGGTGTGTCTTGGCTCAGGCCAGAGCATACAGTTCAGGGGCATCCGTCTCCATGGCTCTGGTGTTGATACAGCAGGAAAGCATGGCTCAGTGTACCAGAGATGCTCACCATGCAGCAGCCAGGAAGCAGAGAGAACCAACAGGAATGAGCCAGGACCACGACAGGCCTTCAAATTCAAGCATGTCCCCTGTGACCCACCTCTTCCGGGGGAGGGGGGCTTCCTGCCCAGTCTCCCCACTCCCACTGGTCTCAAGAGTTTGTATCCATGGTGGAATTTGTTCATTGATTAGGTCAATGTACTCGTGATCTATCATTGGGGTCTTTGTGGATACACTCTAGTCAAGTTGTCAGTGACTAACTGCTACATCCCTGCAGAGCTCTAACAGCTGAGGATTGAACCCACAGCCTTTGCAGGAAAGCACTCTCCCACTGAGCTAGTCTACAGCCCTTGATTCGGGCGTTTTGTGTATTTATTTTGGTGAAACGGACTCTTGTTGTGTAGCGTTGGCCTCAGATCCCCATCGACCCTCTTGCCTCACTCAGACTCCCAAATTCTGGGGTTATAGGTGTTCACTATCACACCAGTGTGGCCTAGGGGTGGCCTGGGATTAGCAATTCCCCTTCACCACCTACCAAGTGCTGAAGTTACATGTGCTTACAACATTGTCATATTTAATCAACATTTATTCAGTTATGTCTCCTTGGTAATGCGGTGTTAATCTCCTTTTACATAGGAAAAATAATTAGCAGTTACATGTGCTGTTAAGGCCAGAGCTGGAAAGGGTCTTGGGTCCCTGACTAAAATTCCACTTGAGGGACCCTAGAGAAATAGGAAACATATTTAATAATCCAGAGAAAATAGACCATAGCTATCATAGTAAAAACATAGTGCCTGACAAAGCTTGGACCAGCCTAGTCTGATTTGGTTGATTGTTTTGTTGCTGTTGTTATGAGACACACACTCATTATGTAGCTCTGGCAGTGTTTATTAACATGGAGTGGTAGAGGACTAGACAAAACTTCAGGCTATTTTGGGCTCTGAGCTGTCATTCAGTGAGCGCTCTAACAGCCTGGGGCAGAGATGCTGAGATCTCAGCTCAGGGTTCCTACAGGGCCCTGCAGTGTCTTCCTCCTCTCAGCTAAGGCTACTGAGCCCTTCCAGATGTGTGGCCTGTCAAAGAACAGGCCTTTCTCTCACCCCGAGCATGCAGTCTGGGGTGTAGCGCATCCTTACCCTACCCACCGCACAGCCACCTCTTGGCATTCCCATGGCTGTCACCCTCTTCGGCCCACCACAGTCTCTTGCTGCTTTCCTGAAAGGACTTCTGGGAGGTTTCATGCCTCTCCCTTTGTCTGCAGTGGGGTCCTGTTAGGACAGGTTGGCTCATGTCACAGTCCTCTGTCATGATTGCCTGGCCCTCAGGACTGTCCCCTCACTCCCCTGTTCTCACTTCCCTTATCCGGCAGCTACTCCTTTCCCATGCCAGCTGCTCCTGCCTCAGGGCCTTTGTCCCCTGCAGTTCTGCTTGTCCCCTGCCCTCGCTCTGGCGTCTGCCCTTCCTGGGGTCTTTCTGGCCTCTGGGTCTAATGTCTCCATGCGCCCCACTCCCTCTTCTAGGTTGTTCTGTCTTCTCTGGTTGTCCCAAGGGCAGGTGGTGCAGACAATCGTCAGTTCTGTTCTGCGGGGTCCTCAGCGTGTTTCAGAGTCCTTCATGTATAATGTGCCCTCAGGAAGTAGTATTACCTGAACAGAGGGCGCTGACACCTGCTGAGCCAGTGCTGCCTGCCATGTGTTAAGTCATTTAATTTACCACCACCACTGCCAGAACCGGCAGTTATGCTAGGCAAGAAAGCTGGTGTTTACTAGTCTACCTGGGCCTAGCTGTTCCGAGAGTGTAACTCTCTAGTGTTACCATTGTCTTTACAGAAAAGCCCACAGTATATCCTGGTTTTTACTAGTCTACCTGGACCTAACTGTTCCGAGAGTGTAACCCTCTAAGTGTTACCATTGTCTTTACAGAAAAGCCCATAGTATATCCTGGAATTGCTGTATTTTTCCAGAATGCCTTCATCTTTTTTGGGTAAGTTCTGATTTTCATTCCTAACTCTGTGTGTGTGTGTGTGTAGGCGTGCGTGCATGCGATCTCCCCACCTCATGCATTCTAGGCACTGGTACTACCATGGATCTCCACCCCTTAGCCCTTTAGCCCTTGGCTTCTTGGCATTTGAATTCTGAGGCATTGTTTCTTCACCCAAAAGTACCTAATTAGGAGCCGGGCGTTGGTGGCGCACACCTTTAATCCCAGCACTCGGGAGGCAGAGGCAGGCGGATCTCTGTGAGTTCGAGGCCAGCCTGGTCTACAGAGCAAGTTCCAGGACAGCCTCCAAAGCCACAGAGAAACCTTGTCTCAAAAAACCAAAAAAAAAAAAAAAAAAAAAAAAGTACCTAATTAGGGTTGCTATTGCTGTGATAAAACACTGGAACCAAACCAACTTGGGGAGAAAGGGTTTATTTGGCTTAAACTTCCAAATCAGTGTTCATTACTGAAGGAAGCCAGGATAGGAACTCAAATAGGGCAGGAAACTGGAGGCTCCAGGAGCTGATGCAGAGACCATGGAGGAGTGCTGCTTACTGTCTTATGGAGGCATTTTTAAAATTGAGATTCCCTCCTCTCTGGTGATTTTATTTAGCTTGAGTCAAGTTAACCTAAAACTAGACAGTATACCCCATCTCATTGGAACTCCTGTTTATCAATCAAAGCCCATTTCAAATATGGCCATCCTTTGGATCCTTTTCTTACTTTAGTTCTTTTTTTTTTTTTGTTTGTTTTTGTTTTTTCAAGACAAGATTTCTCTGTGGCTTTGGAGGCTGTCCTGGAACTAGCTCTTGTAGACCAGGCTGGTCTTGAACTCATAGAGATCTGCCTGCCTCTGCCTCCCTAGTGCTGGGGTTAAAGGCGTGCACCACCACCGCCTGGCTAGTTACTTGTTTATTATTATTGTGTATGCACATGGAGGTGAGTGTGCATATGTGCACACGTGTGACCACACATGTGGCATCAGAGGACAGCTTTAACAGTTGCTTCACTCTTTCCAGTTTTACACAGGTTCCAGGGAACTCGGGTTGTCAGACTTTCTCAGCAAACACTTTACCCGGGGAGCCATTGCCCTGCTTTTGTCTGAATCATCTTCAAATGAATTCAGAAACTGACAGCAAGGCATAGTGGCCTGTGCTTACAATCTTAGCATTGGAAAGTAAAGGCAGGATTGCCTAAGTTTGAGGATAGTAGGTTCCTTGCCAGCCATGGCTACCCCCCATCTCATAAAAGCAAAACACTGAACTCATTCAAGGAGAATGAGTTATGTATTTCAGGCCTCCTTGTGTTTGGTATATGTGTCCGCCACCCACTGAAGTATGTGTGTCATCAGATGTGAGCAGAATGAGGACAAAGACTGTGTGTCTTATTTGTCTGTTTGGGCCTAGCACACCAAGACAGCCCATGAAGGTGCATGGACGGGGCTGGAGCTAGCATGCTCAGCCCAGGCCTTGTGTTCCATCCCTCGCTCACCCCCAAAAAGTCCTGTTGAATCAAGAGGTAATGGTCACTGCCAAACACTGGCTGGCTTTTCAGAAGCCTCAGCAGTAAGAACTCAGGTCTGGGGATAAAGACAATAAGTAGCAGTCTGGCATTATGTAATTCTTGTCTCTAGGACAGTCAGTGTGTGTGTGGATCTTGGATGCTTTTCTTCAGCTTCGTGATGTTTCTCTGTCATATGCTTCCTATCCTTCTAGAAGTTTCCCAACCCAGACAGTCATGTTGTGCTTCTCACTCTATCCACAGAGGGCTGGTGTTTAAGTTCGGCCGCACGGAGGACTTATGGCAATGAAGACACCGCCTCTGCAGCACAGCCGCCCTGCATGGATTTTTTTTTCACTGCTCACCTCGTCTTTTGTAATGCTGTTTTCTAAACTTACTTCTGAGTATAACCTCAGCTTAAAATTGTATAATGCTAGAATCATGAGAACTTCTGTGTAAACTGCAACAGTCTAGTGTGGCGTGCCCGTTCAGCTTTTGCAATGGGAAAGGAAACTGTTGACATGAGTAACGTTGTCAGCTTCTATCATGGTCTAAAGAGTCGATTATGAAATGGTGGAGTCATGGGGGTGAGGATTTGCTCTGGGATCCAAAGTGTTTACTAAGCATGGCCTCTTCGTGTCCAGTGTGGAATAATGTATAAACATTTTCTTGTTATTAAAAACTATTCAGGCCGGGCGTTGGTGGCTCACGCCTTTAATCCCAGCACTCGGGAGGCAGAGGCAGGCGGATCTCTGTGAGTTCGAGACCAGCCTGGACTACCAAGCGAGTTCCAGGACAGCCTCCAAAGCCACAGAGAAACCCTGTCTCGAAAAACCAAAAAAAAAAAAAAAAAACCAAAAAAAAACTATTCAGTACTCAGTGCTTTTTCATTACATTATATGTATGGCTTGTGTGGTTCTACCAGAAAATTGTGCGGCTTCCTTTTCATGAAAATGGCCTAACATAACCTGTGAAAATAGTTCCCGACTCTCTCACACTGGAAGACCTTTCAAAGCGTGTAAATAAAGAGCTTCAAATATCTGTTCATGTTAGGAACACCAGTGCCACCCAGACTAGTGAAATCTACCTGCCTCTGCCTCTCGAGTGCTGGAATAAAAGGCATGCACCACCACTGCCCGGCAACTATTTGGTTTGATAGTGGCTTGAAATCTGTTTCATTTTACGTCTCAACAGATAATCTAAATTCAGCACACCCCAGAGTTGGTTAGCATTACACAGACCTGCTACCATGGACTCTTAATTGTTTGTCCCCCGCTGGAACTATTGGCCTCCCCCCCAACACATCATACGACCCCCACGCCACCCCCACCCCCCAGCTCCCACCTCACGTAATATAGTACAAATTCTTCTGAGCAGAGCTGCAAGTCTTGGCCTTCATTGGGCTGCTGCAGTTGCTCACTGGGAGCCATGATCCCTGTCATAGATGGCTTAGATGTGTGGACTCCTCCACATCCACTGGCTGTGTGTTTGAATGATGTTGACTTGTCAAGACACAGAGGACTGCCTCACTGCTGCCCTCCACGGCGTCACACACCCACAGGGAATGGATTTGAGTCCACCTCTTAGGGACTTAAGAGCACGCACCCTCGTCCCATAACCAGCCCCACTCAGCACAGCACAGTCTGGGGCATCCAAAGCCTCTGTGCCGTGGCCAGATGTGAGGTTCTTCGTTCCCTATTGCCCATCACTCCCTGTGCTGCTGCAGCCAGGAGTTAACCACCTGGGCAGTGGCATTATTAAGTGTGAGAAGAACGAAACAGTTGTCCACAGAATTGGACCAGAACTTTAATGAGGTGCCTGCAGCAAGCAGTACTGATGGTGTCTGTCATGAAACCAAACCTATTTAAACGCAAATCACCACTTGGAAGACTTTCTTGTAACACGTTGCAAACACAAATGGAATGCAAGGAGAGGGACATCACGACCATCCTCGTTCTCAGATGTTTTTGTTTAAAACCCAACAGCCAAGTGAGGGAACTGTGAAGGCAAAGCACACATTTTATTTCATTGGTTTTTGGTCTGTTTGTTTGTTTGGTTTTTGGTTTTTCGAGACAGGGTTTCTCTGTATTGTCTTGGAAGCTGTCCTGGAACTCGCTTTGTAGACCAGGCTGGCCTTGAACTCACAGAGATCCACCTGCCTCTGCCTCCCGAGTGCTGGGGTTAAAGGCGTGCGCCACCAACGCCCGGCTGGTTTTTGGTTTTTTGAGACAGTTTCTGTGTTAGCTCTGGCTGTCCTGGAACTCACTATGTAGGGTATGGTGGGATTCAGCTGTCACTTTCAAAATCTTAAGTTAGGAGAGATCTTAGTTCTATATTTCTCTTTCTCTATTTTTCATTGGTTTGTTTTTTGGTGTGTGTTTGTGTGCTTAAATTACTCCTAATTACTCCTAATTCCTTTTTTTTTTTTTTTTTTTTTTTTGGTTTTTTTTCGAGACAGGGTTTCTCTGTAGCTTTGGAGGCTGTCCTGGAACTCACTCTGTAGACCAGGCTGGCCTCAAACTCACAGAGATCCGCCTGCCTATGCCTCCCGAGTGCTGAGATTAAAGGTGTGCGCCACCAACGCCCGGCGACTTCTAATTCTTTTTAAAAAAAGAAGGTGGAGGCCAGCCTGATCTACAGGGTTTCTCTGTGTAACTGCCCTGGCTGGCCTGGAACTCCCAATTACCACCACGTTAGGGTAGGAGCTCAGTGTAGTCTGCAGTCACCCTGAGGACTGGCCCTTTCTTGGTGGAGGCTTGACTGCTTTGCTTTTCTGATCTTCAGCTTTAACCCCATATCTGTCACTGGGTTGTTTTTTATTCATGCTACATTTGGCACCCAACTGTTGGGGTACAAATTCATGAAAAAGCCACTTGCCTGTGGCTTTGCAGCCACCAGCACAGGCTGGAGCTGCACACAAGACTCATGCTGGAGTCACTGCCCAACTGGCTAGATTTTCTTTTGTTTTCCCCAAGCCTCTGAGCAGTTTGAGATTTTCCTGTTGTAGCCTGCTAATGGGCCTCTATTTTCTTATGTTTAAACTTGAGGTACCTGAAGAGTACACCCAGGAGTTGTCCTCTGATCTCCTTGAACACACACACCCATACACACAATACATTTATCATACTAATAACTTAAAATCTTACCTCCCAGAAAGCCTGATCATCAAAGTACTTGGATGTGTGGGGAGCTCTCCACACTTTGGCAGTTAGGAGACAACCTTAAACAAATGATAGTTAAATGTTAAAATATGCAGAGAGCGGGGCGGGAGAGATGGCTCAGCAGTTAAGAGCACTGGCTGCTCTTCCAGAGGACCTGGGTTCAATTCCCAGCAACCACATGGCAGCTCACAACTGTCTGTAACTCCAATTCCAGGGGATTTGACATCCTCACACAGAAATACATGAAGGCAAAACACAAGTGCACATAAAATAAAAATAAATATATTTTAAAAATATGCAGAAATTACTGAAATAAGATGGGTGGTGGCACATGCCTTTAATCCCAGCACTCGGGAGGCAGAGGCAGGTGGATTTCTGTGAGTTCGAGGCCAGCCTGGTGTACAGAGTGAATTCCAGGACAGCCAGAGCTACACAGAGAAAAGCTGGACCTGAGGGGTGCATTCTGGAGAAATAGACCAGGCATGCACATGTGTAGCATGGCGCCCTCTAGTGAACTAAAGCCCAGTACTGCACTGACCTGTTAGGAGTCCAGATGCCATTCCCATCGCCAGAACAAAGCTGAGAGCCCCAAAGTCATTGATCAACTGGCTTGGAAGCCTAGAATGGACAAAGCAGAGAGGTCACTCACATATCAGGCTGCAGGCATGGGGACAAACAAGACAGATGGCACTAGTGGTGACATGGCCAAAAAGGACTGTAAAGAAACCCAGTGGCCTTTCCCCAGCTGCCATGTCCCTGCCACTTTCTTGTAGAGTTATGCTAATGTAGTTGGGACAGGAGGAGAGGTTGCACAGCCCTCTCTGGCACATCAAAGTCTCCAGGCTCCGCGGGTCAGCCCAAGCCTGGCCGACACTGGCTCTTCAGTGTAATCATACAGTCAGAGGCGTTGAACAACCCAGCTTTCCCCTTCAGACCTCATTAATCCAGGCTGGCCTCCAAGAGGCTACGAGGTAGACTCTACCTCTACCAAGCAGAAGATGATTTTGAGCTCTCGGTCCTCCGGCCTCCACCTTCCAGGTTCTGGGATTCCAGATGTGTGCCACCACACCCAGTGTTTGTGCTAGCGGATGGAAAACACGACCAGCTGAGCCACAGCCCCTCTCTTAACCGAGCGTCTTTGAGCACTGCTTTCTTGAGTCAATAGTCCACAGACGAGTAGAAACACAAGAAATGGAAGGCGGGGCGCAGCTACCAGAACATCACCCTTGCCTACACATTTTGTCTTGTAATTAGGCGGCGCTCCTTGCTTCTCTCTGAACTCTAAGACAATTGTAAGAGCCGGGCGTTGGTGGCGCACGCCTTTAACCCCAGCACTCGGGAGGCAGAGGCAGGCAGATCTCTGTGAGTTCGAGGCCAGCCTGGTCTACAGAGCGAGTTCCAGGACAGCCTCCAAAGCCACAGAGAAACCTTGTCTCAAAAAAACCAAAAAAAAAAAAAAAAAAAAAAAGACAATTGTAAGAAATTTGAAATACAGTTTTCTCTTCTCTGCACCCCAAAGTCTTCACTACCACCCCCACAATGGCTTCAATGCCACTCTTGACTCCATAGTAAAACTTAACATTTTGACCTCAAACTACCATGGCTGTCAAAAGTGTCTCAGTGGGCTTGAACCCTATTGGCCTGCTGTGTAGACTTGTAGATCCTCCAAGCTATGTACCTGTGCTCCTGTGCCCTGGTCTTAAGCTGCCTCCTGTTTGAGAAGAGGTGACCTGGAGATCTGGTAACTCCATACAGAGTATAGGTCAGGAACATTTACAAGGACAGATGAGGCTCACACCTGTAATCTCAGCACTCAGGAGGCTGAGGCATGAGTGAGTTCTAGGCCAATCTGAGCTACAGTGTAAGACCCTGTCTTAAAAAAATAAAATTTCCAGCCGGGCGTTGGTGGTGCACGCCTTTAATCCCAGCACTCCGGAGGCAGAGGCAGGTGGATCTCTGTGAGTTTGAGGCCAGCCTGGTCTACTGAGAGAGTTCCAGGACAGCCTTCAAAACAATACAGAGAAACCCTGTCTCGAAAAACCAAATAAAATAAAATAAAATACATAAATAAAATTTCCAAGACAGAGTTTCTCTGTGTAACAGCTGATTGTCCTGGAACTCACTCTGTAGACCAGGCTAGCCTATAACTCACAGATATCCATCTGTCTCTGCCTGCTGAATGCTGGGATTAAAGGCATGCACCCCCATGCCCAACTTATTCGGTCTAAATTTAATAATTAAAAAGAAAAAAGGTTTTCTGAATTAGTTGACTCTGGGTATATTTCCTCCCAAGTTGAATGCAGGTTAAGGAAAGAGGCCAAGGTACCCACTCGAATATACCGTACTTGTTCATCAGAATGTAGGTGACTGCTCCAAGCAGACCCGGCAAGCCAAAGGTATAGTGGATGCCACCAGGGTTCTGGATCTGCAGAATGTGGTTCAAACACACCTAGTGACAAAATGGTGTTATAAGCAGATCTATAAGCAAGACCCATAGTTTCTCCTAGTTCTTCCACAGGCTCACTGAAAGATACCATACAGTACATTCACATCCCCCCCAGGAAACATTTCAAATGCCAAGAGGAGAGGCCTGGAGAGATGACCCCGCAGTTAGGAGCACTGGCTGCTCTTTTACAGGTCCTTCAGAACTTCAGGGTCAGTTCTGAGCACCCTCATGGTGGCTTCCCACCATCTGTAATTCTGGTTGTAGCGGATCTGGCCTCTGCATTCTGCATGCGGTCCACAAAGGTATATTCAGGCAAAACTTTCATTCCAATAAAAAATAAATAAAAATCTTGATTTTAAAATCTCAGCCAGAGCCAGGCATTGGTGGTGCACGCCTTTAATGCCAGCACTCTGGAGGCAGAGGCAGGTGGATCTCTGTGAGTTTGAGGCCATCCTGGTCTACAGAGCGAGTTCCAGGACAGCCTCCAAAACAATACAGAGAAACCCTGTCTTGAAAAAATTTTTTTTACATTGGCTTGAATTTTTGTATACTGACACAAACTTAAGGTTACTTTTGTTATACTGTATATGTGTTATAGAAATGATAAGATAAGCGCCGGGCGTTGGTGGCGCACGCCTTTAATCCCAGCACTCGGGAGGCAGAGGCAGGCGGATCTCTGTGAGTTCGAGACCAGCCTGGTCTACAGAGAGAGTTCCAGGACAGCCTCCAAAGCCAGAGAAACCCTGTCTCGAAAAACCAAAAAAAAAAAAAAAAAAAGAAATGATAAGATAAAAAAGTAGGTTATTGAATCTACTTTTAAACCAAAAAAGCAACTACTAGTTTTAAATATTTTACATTGATGCGATTTTTGTACATTGAGACAAACTTAAGGTCATTTTTGTTAGAACACACTGTACATAGATTTCTACACTTGTTCAAGGTATTGTACCTATACAGCTCACTTAACAATGCAATGTAAATTTCTAGTCCTTGAAATTTATTATTATAAACTATATAGAATAATTAAAAATGCAGGAAATAGTCACCTATTACAATCAAACTAGTCATATTAAGTATGCTTTCAAGGTCAAACAGACATATATTTTAGATAGGTAGTCCTCAAATACTTCAGAGTTCGACAAATATGGCATTTAAGATGTTTTATTAACATAAGTTTCTTTTTTATGACAATGAGACATGTCTGCTCCTGGCAGCACCTGAACTTCAGAGGAGATGATGGGCATCAAAGAAACTTCACATGGAGTTTACTTTCTTTGGGGCAAAAGTTAGCCACTGCCAAACTTTGCCAAGACAAGGTAGGACAGCCTTTCAGAATATCCTGCTTCACAGAAAAACCTGTCAGGTATGCTAGACCTGTAGGCTGAAGATGGATGCCCCAACACTGCAGAGGAACCTTGGGTGACTGTCTAATAGCCAGATGTTTCTGTCATTTCTCACAACTTTTGGAAGTTATTTGCTTGTACTTCCTGCTTACTCAAGTGATATTATTTCCTTCTCAAGCCTCTGAGGGAGTTGAAGACTAGATAGTTACAATTTTCCTTGTTAACTAATTCAGAAAAGAAATTCACAAAGAGGTGTAAAGTCTATAAGGCTGACAGACATCAAAGGATTGTTTTGAGTTGGTAATACAAGTTAAGATAGAAAGTGAATTACACAAGACTTTGGACTCACCAAGACAGGATAGATAATGGAGTATTTTCTCTGAATTTGTCAAATACAAATGGACTAGACACTGTTAATGTAATTATTGCCTGTATATAATTGTATATCGTTATTGTACTTATTGTATAGTTTTTCTATGGTAGTTATAACCTTCACTTTTTATTTACACAAAAAGGGGGAAAAGGTAGGAAATATAGGTCTGGAGATCTGTACAGAGAAGAGACAGGAAGTGATGAGGCAGGATCTCAGCCCTTTTGTTCTGAGGATTCAGAGAGGTAAGAGGTGACTTGTGGCTTCTCTGCTTCTCTGATCTTTCAGCTTTTACCTGATATCTGACTCTGGGTTTTTATTGCTAAGACCAGTCAGGATCATGCTCCAGTGGTCATGGTGTCTCTTCACAGCAATAGAAACCCTAAGACAGTAGTTGTCCAGTTCCTTACCGGCAGACACTTGGCTCCCCCAATGGAGATCAACCCAGCTGTGAGGCCCAGCACCATGGCAACCCAAGGAGAAGTAATCAGGAGACATGGGGCGCCCACCGCCACGCCTCCTGCCAGCACTGCATTGTGGAGGTGAACCTGCAAAGAAACAGCTGTGGGTGGGTGAAGCGAGGCTCAGGGCGGGCACACTCTTGCCCACAGCCTGTCAGCACATCGGCCATGAGCGGCCTCCTAATGACCTTCCAGGCTCACAGGTCCTGAAGCCATTCCTTCCTGTCCATTGGCACGAGGCGCCGTTCATCCACAGGTTCCCTGGGGCTCAGGGAGGAGCCTTCTGACCCGGCATCCTGGCCACCCCTTACTAACACACCCTTGAGCACTTAAAAGAGTTCGAGCTATAATCCCAGCACTCACGAGGCTAGGACAGAGCTATCTTGTGGTCAAGACCAGCCTAGGCCATGGGGTAGGATCCTGTCTTTTTTTTTTAACTTTAAAAAGATGTGTTTATTTTTATATTTCTGTGTGAGTGTTTTACTGCATACACATCTGTGCAGTACATGCATGTCTGCTGCTGGTGGAGTCTAGAAGAGGACATCAGATCCTCTGGTAATGGAGCTATCATATCAGTGCTTGGAACCAAACCCAGAGCCTCTGGAAAAGGAGCCAGCGTTCCTAACTTCTGAGCCATCTCTCCAGCCCCAAGATCCTGTCTTTATTTTTTAAGTTTTATTTTTTGATTTATTTATTTATTTTTGGTTTTCTAAGGTAAGGTTTCTCTGTATAGCCTTGGCTGTTCTGGAACTCACTCTGTAAACCAGATTGGCCTCAAACTCAGAGATCCACCTGCCTCTGCCCCTCAAGTGCTGGTATTTAAAGTGTGCGGCACTTAATTTCTTTTTTGTTTTTTGTTTTCTGTTTTTTTTTTTTTTTGCTTTTTTGGGTTTTTTGTTTGTTTGTTTGTTTGTTTTTGGTTTTTCCAAGACAGGGTTTCTCTGTATTGTTTTGGAGGCTGTCCTGGAACTCGCTCTGTGGACCAGGCTGGCCTCGAACTCACAGAGATCCGCCTGCCTCTGCCTCCCGAGTGATGGGATTAAAGGTGTGTGCCCCCAACACCCGGTTTAATTTCTTTTTTTTTAATGAAGCTGGGGGAGGGAATTGTGCCTGTGGGTGCAGTACCTGCAGTGCCAGAAGAGGGCACTAGAGGGCCTAGAGCTGGAGTTTTGGGCATTTGTGAGCCACCCAGTTCCTCTCTGAGAGCAGTGCCGGCTCTTGACCCCTAAGCCATCTCTCCAGCCCTAGAGGTTTTCTTGTTTTGTTTTCATTTATTTAGTGTAGGTGTCAGTGTGAACATGTATTCACCCAAGACAACTTTTGGAAGTCTGTTCTCTCCTCCCACCATATGGGACCTGGGGATCATGTTGGGCTGTTAGCCGCTGAGCCACCGTCAGCCTTCATTCCAGAGTTCCTGTAGGCACTGAGTCAGACCTTAGACCAGGGTCCGGCACAGATCTCAGAAGCCACTGTCACATGTTCATTAATGAAAGCTACTTGCTGCTTAGGCACCTGTATGACCACAGTGGGCTCCAATATGCCGTTTCTGGCTCCTGGGTCAGATATCTACTCTGCTGTCCCTCCCGCTAGACCCAGAGAAGCCTGTCTTCTCTAACCCCTCCATTCCAGGCCTCAGAGCTCTGGGCTTTCACCTGACACCTGCCTCTTTGTCTTCCTAAGCAACTCTGCCTTATTTACTCCTAGACTTCCTGTCACCAACAAGTTCACTTGTGGGTACACCAACCTCCCCTAGTGACTAAATGTGCTGGGGGCCTGTCACCTGTGGACAGCTTCCCCCACACACAGCCCACTCCACTCTACCCCATCTGCCAGCTCTTCCCAGTGCCTCTGCGGGCTGAGCCTGGCTTGTCACTCTCACCCATCCCTCTCCACAAAACGTCCCCACTGTATCTGTGCCAGCACCCATTCACAGAGTACTGTTCGAATATCACCTGCCTTTTCTTCCTTTTCTTTTCTTTTAAGCAGAGTCTTATATAGTCCAGGATGGCCTCAAACTAGATATATAGACCAGGCGGTGGTGGCACAGGCCTTTAATCTCAGCACTCAGGAAGCAGAGGCAAAGGGATTTCTGTGAGTTTGAGGCCAGCCTGGTCTACAGAGCGAGTTCCAGGACAGCCAGGGCTGTTTCACAGAAAAAAAAATGTCTCTAAAAACAAAAACAAACCCTCGATAGCCAAGGATAGTTTAGAACTCCCGTTCCTCCTATTTTTACCCCCTGAGTCCTGGGATCACAGTCAGGTACTAACTACTATGCTCAGTGCTGGGGTTTGAATTCAGGGCCTCAGGCATGCTGGGTAAGCACTCTACCAACTGAGCTCTGTCCCCAGCCCCTGAATTCTCTCTCTCTCAAAAGATGTATTTATTTTACATGTATGAGTGTTTTGCCTGCATGCATGGATGTATGTGTTCCACATGTGTGCCTGGTGCCCAAGGAAGTCAGAAGAGGGCGTTGGATTCCCTGGAATTGGAATTCTGGATGGTTGTGAGCCAACATGTGGGTGCTTGGATCTGAACCTGGATCCTTTGCAAGAACAAGTGCTCTTAACGGTTGGCCCATCTCTGCGGCCTTCCTGCATTGTTAAGGCTCAAAGTACTGATATGGTTTGAACTAACCAGTGGGACTTTAAAAAACAAAGCAGAAAACTTCTTATTGTGTTCATTGCATTCTTAAAACTTCTTTCTTCTTTTGTTCTTGTTTTTCTTTTGAGATTTTTTTTCCTGTGTAGTACAGATACACATGTCATATCCAGAGCTTGGCTCTGCGGGAGCTGTCCGCAAGTATATTAGGCTGTCTTAGAACTCAATTTGTAGATCAGTCTTGCCTCAAACTCACAGAGATCTGACTGCCTCTGCCTTCCGAAAACTGGGATTAGAGGCGTGAGCCACTACTGCTGTCTGGCAAAATTTCTTGAAGGAAGAAGAGAGGCTGGCTAATTTTATTCCAGTTTGTTCTGCTGACTCCTGCTTGTGGTTTGTTGGCTTCAACAACTAGTGGAAACGGGGTCTACAGCCGGGTCTGTGTGACAGTAACATTGATTTAAACACACACATGTGACCATGCAGATACACACACATACACGCACCAGCCCCCAGACAGCCTGTCCAGTCACCAGTATCCTGATGTTCCCAAATGACAGACAAGGAAGGAAGGGCCCATCACAGGATCGCCCCTACCCCCAGCCCCAGCCCGGCCATGTGGGAGAGCTGTCAACATGTGTGTGTTAGGCACAGAGACACATGTCACATCCAGAGCCTGGCCCTGTGGGAGATCTGTAAACATGTATGTTAGGCATAGAGACACATGTTACATCCAGAGCCTGCCCCTGTGTGGGAGCTGTCAATATATGTGTTAGCACAGATACACATGTTACATCCAGAGTCTGGCTCTGTGGGAGCTATCAGCATGTATGTTAGGCACAGAGACACTTGTCACATCCAGAGCCTGGCCCTGTGTGGGAGCTGTCAACATATGTGTTAGCACAGATACACATGTCACATCCAGAGCCTGGCTTGTGGGAGCTGTCAACATGTATGTTAGGCACAGACACACATGCTGCCCAAGAGGTAGCCTCCTCCTCACCATGTTGATCTTTCCCTGGGGGTGACTCAGGGCTGACATGGAGGTGGCTGTCACCGCACTGACTGCAAGGGCATAGTAGGTGTTGAGCACAGCCTTCCTCTTGTCGTTTGGCACCTCCACCAGGACAGAGTTGAAACTTGGCCAGAATATCCACAAGAGGAGGGTTCCTGGAGGGCAGAGCAAGGGTTAGCCAGGATCATGCTCATTTCTGAAATCACCATCTTCAAGGACAGCAGAGGAACAGTCTGAAGCTAGCAAGTGAGTCTGGTCACCTTCCCTGGGTGACTAAATAGTCACCTGAAGATGGGGTTCTGTTCCACCTGATCCCACAGCTGTTTAGTCCCAAATAAACACACAGAGGCTATATTAATTATAAGCTGGCCAATGGCTCAGGCTTCTTATTTATTAACCCATTTCTATTAATCTATATATCTCCACTTTGTCTTGGCTTGCCAGTGATGCCTGGCCCCTTCCTCCCTCAGCAGCTACATGGCCTCTCTCTCTCTCTCTCTCTCTCTCTCTCTCTCTCTCTCTCTCTCTCTCTCTCTCTCTCTCTCTCTCTCTCTCTCTCTCTGGTGACTCTCTGCATTTCTCTTCCCAGCATTCTCCTAGTCTGGTAGACCTGCCTATACCCCCTGCCTGGCTACTTAATGACCAATCAGCATTTATTCATCAACCAATAAGGGAAACATTTATTCACAGTATAACAGAAGGACATCCCCCATCAGTCACCTCTCCCCTCTGAAGTCTCAGGTTGGTGGGAGACAGACACACATTTTCCGACAAGGAATTTAATGCCCAGAGCATTGAATGTAATGCTAGGCCTCACTCCACTCTTCAGCGATCAAACACTTCCTTTTAAAATGCAAGGCAGAGGCTGGAGAGATGGCTCAGTGGTTAAGAGTACCGGCTGCTCTTGCAGAGGACCTGGGTTTCCTTCCCAGAACCGATGGTGGCTCACAGCCATCTGTAACCCCAGTTCTAGGGAATCCAAAGCATGCACATAGCACACATACATGTATGCGGGTGAAATAGTCATACACAAAACTAAAAGAAAAATTTTTTGAGACAGGGTTTCTCTGTGTAGCCCTGGCTGTCCTGGAACTCACTCTGTAGACCAGGTTGACTTTGAACTCACAGAGATCTGCCTGCCTCTGCCTCCTGAATGCTGGGATTAAAGGTGTGCACCACAAGCTGGGCCACATGGTTGCTGGGAATTGAACCCAGGTCCTCTGGAAGAGTATTCAGTGCTCCCAACCACTGAGTCATCTCTCTAGCCCCTACATTAGACTTTAAGTGAGTTTATGCAATATTTTTGTCTCTTACAGAAAGGAAGCCTATGGGCAGGTAAACATTGTGAGTAAGAGCAAGAATTAAAATAAGGAAACAGAGGGAGGAGCTGGAGAGGTGGCTCAGTGGTTAGAGCACTGATGGCTCTTGCAGGGGACCCTGCACCCATATGGTGGCTCACAGCCTCCTTTAACCCTGGTTCTGATGGTCCTGTGCCCTCTTCTGACCTCTGCAGGCATCAGGCTTACAAATGTACACACACATACATGCAGGTGAAACACTCATACGAAATATTTTTTTAAATTTTTTTAAGATTCATTTATTACATGTACAGTGTTCTGCCTACATGCCGGAAGAGGGCACCGGATTGGTTTGTAGATCTTTGTGAGCCACCATGTGGTTGCTGGGAATTGAACTCAGGACCTCTGGAAGAGCAGTCAGTGCGCTTAACCTCTAAGCCATCTCTCCAGCCCCATACGAAATATTTTTTAAAAGATTATACTTTTTAAAAATATAGAGAATAGGTCAGGCAGTAGTGGTGCATACTTTTTTTTTTTTTTTTTGGTTTTACGAGACAGGGTTTCTCTGTATTGTTTTGGAGGCTGTCGTTCCAGCCTGGCCTCGAACTCACAGCGATCCACCTGCCTCTGCCTCCCGAGTGCTGGGATTAAAGGCATGCGCCACACTGCCCGGCCCTCTCTGAACTTTCAGTCTTCCTGTCTCTGCTTTCCAAAGGCTGAGGTCCAGGGGTGACTACCACACCCAAGTCTCCACCGAATATTATTGAAGAGAGGTCCCTAAAAGGAAAGGCTTAATCTAAAGCTACATAAACTCAAGGATATTCTATATAAACCTATGATGTTTATTTATTTATTTATTTATTTATTTTTTGGTTTTTCAAGACAAGGTTTCTCTGTGGCTTTGGAGGCTGTCCTGGAACTCACTCTGTAGACCAGGCTGGCCTCAAACTCACAGAGATCCGCCTGAGATCCGCCTGCCTATGCCTCCCGAGTGCTGAGATTAAAGGCATGCGCCACCAATGCCCGGCCCCTATGATGTATATATATATGTGTATATATATATATATATATGTTTCATAGTTGATATAGAATATATAGTGTATATATAATAACATGGTTCATATATGTAACATAACTACAGTTTATATATAATAACATAATGTGTTATAATATAAAAACTGTATAGAGAGCTACATAAACTCAACAACATTACTAGAAACAAGGGGCCTTGTTGGGCAGTAGTGGCCCATGCCTTTTTTTTTTCTTTTAATTTATTTTGTTTTTTTGTTTTTTTTTTTTTTTTCCGAGACAGGGTTTCTCTGTGGCTTTGGAGGCTGTCCTGGAACTCACTTGGTAGTCCAGGCTGGTCTCGAACTCACAGAGATCCGCCTGCCTCTGCCTCCGGAGTGCTGGGATTAAAGGCGTGCGCCACCAACGCCCGGCTTTAATTTATTTATTAGGTACAATGTTCTGTCTGCATGTATGCCTGCAGGTCAGAAGACTGCACCAGATCTCACTACAGATGGTTGTGAGCCATCATGTGGTAGCTGGAAATTGAACTCAGGACTGACCTCTGGAAGACCAACTAGTGTTCTTAACCACAGAGCCATCTCTCCAGCCTGTGGTACACACCTTTAATCTTCGCACTCAAGAGGCAGAAGCAGGCAGATATCTGTGAGTTCGAGGCCAGCCCAGTCTATAGAGTGAGTTCCAGGACAGCCTCCAAAGCTACAGAGAAACCCTGTCTCGAAAAACCAAAAAAAAAAAAAAAAAAAAAAAGAGAGAGAGCTGACATTGGAAATGTACATTTTAAATCCCCACGAGGGCTGGAGAGATGGCTCAGAGGTTAAGAGCACTGACTGCTCTTCCAGGGGCCCTGAGTTCAATTCCCAGCAACCACATGGTGGCTCATAACCATCTACAATTCAATCTGGTGCTCTCTTCTGGCGTGTAGACAGAACACTGTATATGTGATAAATAAGCAAATCTTTTAAGAAAAAAAAACAAGCCAAACCAAACAAACAAACAAAAACCTAAAGGGCCTTTATGGAAGGAACCAGTATTCTCAGGTCATAGGCCAAGGAGAGATTTCTCAGCAGGATGTGTTCTCAACTCTGTTCAGACTGGAGACTACCCTGCCCTTTTGTCCTTACCTAGCATAGCAAACAGACTGGAGCTTGTAGCCATCTGAACCTTCTCTGTCTGGGCTTCTTCATCCAGTCCCCTGGGCAAAGACCTGGAGAGGCACCAGGCCACAAGCAGCCCAAAATAGGCCCCAAACACGTGCCCGTACATGGTGAAGATGTGGCCGTCCACCTGCAATGGAACACGGCGGCTTGGTGAGTGTCCCGGGCCTGTGTAAAGAGGTCAGCCTTGCTGCGCTTCCTGCGGAAGGTTTGACTTGAACTCTGACCTGGTGTTCAGAGCTTATGCAGGCCAGTCAGCTGCCCTCCCCTTGGAGAAGCCCACCACGCACGGGTAGACCTGGAGTGACAGAGTGATGATGGATGACACGGCCTGTCTTATAACTCACCACAGCCAGGTTCATGCTAATCATGCCTCATGCATAGCAAATTTAATAAGCCCTAGGCCTCATTCTTAATGGATTTAGGGTAAAGGCTGTCTTCAGGGTCTCCCCAAACACTCAGAACTGATCGGCTCTTTACCCACTCCCCACTGATGCTACCTTGGCCAAAGCCACCTTCACAGACACCCCAGATTTCTGCAATAACCTCCCAGCTGAACTTCCGGTTCCCAGCCTTGTCCCTATTGACTATTCTCTAAACAGCTGCAGACCCCGCCGCTTCCCAGCTCAGAATCATCCAGTGGCTTCCATCTCACTCAGAGTGACTGACTGTCCTTTGCCTGACTCTGTGAGGTCTGCTCTTTCTCCCACCCAACCCTCTTCCCTCCACACCCTCTCCCAGTCGGCACACCTCCAGCCCTCTCTCACCTCAGGTAGTTCAACAGCTTAAGTGCTGTTTCCCTGGGCAGAGGGGGATGGGCAGGGAGGAAGTGGTGTGCCCTAGGTGGGGAGTAGGGTACACATCTGTCTGCTTCCTATTATCACCAAGGGGCAAGACGTGTGAAGCAAGAGACACAGAGGCCTCTGGACAGATGCAATCTACCACACACCCTGCTGGGGCTGGCCGCTGTTGCCAGACACCCTCCAGGGCTGGCCTCACGATTTGCCTGATGATACTTTCCTACCTCTCTGCCTGCTGTCTTATCCAGCCCCTCACATCTCTGCCTCACCCTCCTTTGTTTTATGATTCCCTATTGAGTTTGTCCCTATCTATCATGACACATCTTTTACTCACTTCATTTTTTTATTGGTAACTGTTTCTTCCGCAGCAGGTTTCCCTGAACTTGTGCTTCCCCATGGTCACAAGAGTGCCTGGTACATAATAGGTACTTGGTAAGTACTTCTCAAATGGGTGGATGAGGCTAAAGCACCCTTACCCATGCATAAAGATGCAAGCCTGTACTGCTTCTTCCTAAGGACCAGAAAGAGGACATGCCTGTACTCAAGAGGATGCTGTGAGTTCAGGGCCAACCTGGGCTACAGGACAAAGACCCTGTCTCAGATACATCTAAGATTGGAGTTCATACATAGTCCATTCAGCTGAACCCAAGCACAAAGCCCTGGGTTCAATCCCCAACATCATCTAAACTGGGGCACATGTCTTTAATCCCAGCACTCAGGAGACAGAGGCAAGTGGATGGCTGTGAATTCAAGGCCAGGCTGATCTACATAATGAGTTCCAGGACAGCCAGAGCTACAAAGTGAAACCCTGCCCCCAAAACTAAATAGGTAAATAAATAAACAAAGAAGCAAACAAACAAGAACGTTGGGGCTGGAAAGACAGCCCAGCAGCTAAGAACATTTGTTCTTTCAGAGTGAGGCACTAAGAAAAAAAAAAAAAGTAAACAAAAGGGCTCAGATGTTAAGAGCTCTGGCTGCTCTTCCTAAGGTCCTGAGTTCAATTCCCAGCAACCACATGGTAGCTCACAACCATTTATAATGAGGTCTGTGCCCTCTTCTGGCCTGAAAGCATACATGCAGGCAGAACACTGTGTACCTAATAAAATCTTTGAAAAAATAAAGTAAGCAAAAAGAGAAGGTTACATGGTGCTGGAGAGATGGCTCAGTAGTTAAGAGCACTGGCTGTTCTTCCAGAGGTCCTGAGTTCAATTCCGAGCAACCACATGGTGGCTCACAACCATCTATAATGAGATCTGGTGCCCTCTTCTGGTATGCAGGCAGAACACTGTATACATAATAAATAAAACAAATAAATAAAATCTAAATATAAAAAAAGAAGGTTACAGACATTACTCAAGAATAAATCAGAGCCTGGTCTACAAGAGCTAGTTCCAGGACAGCCTCCAAAGCCACAGAGAAACCCTGTCTCGAAACCCCCCCCCCCAAAAAAGAATAAATCAGGTGACTGCGTGGTGGTGGTGCACGACTTGGATCTCAGCACTCAGGAGGCAGAGGTGGGTGGATCTCTGTGAGTTCTCAGAAGCATAGTCTACAAAATGAAACCCTGTCTCCAAAACAAACAAACAAAAAAGTATTCTTATTCTTATTCTTATTCTTTTTTTTTTTTTTTTGGTTTTTCTAAACAGGGTTTCTCTGTGGCTTTGGAGGCTGTCCTGGAACTAGCTCTGTAGAACAGGCTGACCTCGAATTTACAGAGATCCACCTGCCTCTGCTTCCCGAGTGCTGAGATTAAAGGTGTGTGCCAAAGCCACAGAAAACCCTGTCTCGAAATACCAAAAAAAAAAAAAAAAAGTAAGAGCTAGTTAGTAATAAGTTTGAGCTATTGGCCAAGCATTTATAATTAATATTAAGTCTCTGAGTAGGTTATTTGGGAAGCGGCTGCTGGGACTGAAAAATTTCTGCTTATACCTTCTCAGTTCTGGGATTACAGGTGTTTGTCTCATCTGGCCTTACCCTGTCTTGATGACTTCATTTTATCGTGAAGATTATGTTTTGCTAGTGGCAGCTGGCTGGACCCAAGGCTACCATAACACAGGCTCTGTCCCTCCTCTCTTGAACTGAAACTGAGGGAGAAGAGTGTTGCTTGTACAGGACCTGGGACCTAGCAACAGTGGAAAGAGCGGGACAGATGGACCCCATTCTTCAGGAAAGGGAAAGTTACTGTTCTGGGAGGAGTGTACCCAAATGATCTGGGCATCTGCGGCCTCGGAGGGCTTTCCTGTCCATTTCTCGTCACTTTTGGCGTCTAACTGCACTTTCTGGACTTGGAGAGTCTACTAAAGTCCCATAATTCTGCCTAATAAACCATCAGTGAGCTGAGGCTGGACCCAAGCTGAAGGGCGCCCCTTCCTTCTATGGCTTTGGCTCCCTGTTCTGCTCTTGGCTCTGCAAATAGCCCCACCTGTCATTGCTCTTGGACCCTGCATCCTCTCCTGGGAGTACCCCAACACTCTCCTTCTTCTGCACATGTCCTAGAGAGGCGGCACATGGTCTGAGCACTGACCACAGACCCCCTAGGGCCAGGGAAGGTGACCTGCCACCTCACTGCCTGCTCTTGTCACTGCGGATGGTCACCGCTCCCCATCCTCCCACCCCACCCTGCAGCTGACCTGACCTTGTGTCCCCCTGAGGACATCCAAGCAAGCGTCCTCCCTCTGCCATTGTGGGTGGGCCCCACCCCAGAGCTGGCAGACCATCCTGTCTCCCCGCCCCCACCCCTCCAGCTCTCCCCACTGTGAAAGCACTAAACAAATCCTTTCCTTCTCTGCTTCAGAGATATGACACTTTGAGTTCATCTTTCTGTCTTAGCTGTTTTTCCAGATTAGTCTAACTGATATGGCAGCATCGCCCATGTTTTTTTTTTACTTTGAATAACACTTTTTTATTTATTTTATATAGCATCACCCATCTTAAGCAAAGTTTCCCTTGCCCTCATTCTGTACCCCAATATCTGCTCCATTTCCCTGCTGATCCTCACCCTCCCCATCTCACCCTCCTCTCTCTAGACAAGGTTTTTATTTGCTTGTTTGTTTTTTGGGTTTTGTTTTTCAAGACAGGGTTTCTTTGTATTGTTTTGGAGACTGTCCTGGCACTCTCTCTGTAGACCAGGCTGACCTTGAACTCACAGAGATCCACCTGCCTCTGCCTCCCGAGTGCTGGGATTAAAAGCGTGCGCCACCAACGCCCGGCGACAAGGTTTTTGTATGAACTTATTCTGAGGAGACGAAAACAGTGAACAAATGTCTTTCACCTCAAAGAAATCACTAACATTCTCTCCCTCCCTCCCTCTCCCTCTCTCTCTCTCTCTCTCTTCCTCCCTCCCCTCCCCTCCTGGCTAGCCTTTTATCAGCTTGACACAAGCTGGAGTCATCTGACAGGAGGAAGCCTCAGTTGAGGAAACGCCCCCACCAGACTGGCCTGTGCGTTTTCTTGACCGATGGCTGAGACAGCACCCTTCCTTAGTGAGCACACTTCTTGTTCCTATTAATTCTTCCTATTAATTCTTCTAAGTAGATATTACTTCTGATCCCTTGGACTCAACTGAACCACCAACATGGATGGCCAAAGTGCATACATATTTTGTGGGGATTTTTTTTTAAGATTTATTTATTATGTATACAGTGTTCTGCCTCCAGGTCAGAACAGGGCACCAGATCTCATTACAGATGGTTGTGAGCCACCATGTGGTTGCTGGGAATTGAACTCAGGACCCCTGGAAGAGCAGTCAGTGATCTTAACCTCTGAACCATCTCTCCAGCCCTTGTGGGGATTTAAAATGTACATTTCCAATGTCAGCTCTCTTTTTTTTTTTTTTTTTTTTTTTTTTGGTTTTTCGAGACAGGGTTTCTCTGTAGCTTTGGAGGCTGTCCTGGAACTCACTCTGTAGACCAGGCTGGCCTCGAACTCACAGGATCCACCTGCCTCTGCCTCCAGAGTGCTGGGATTAAAGGCGTGCGCCACCAACGCCCGGCTCCAATGTCAGCTCTCTTAAAGGAGAGTCTTTCAGAACTAATTTTTTATTTGATAGATAATTTTTTAAAGGTTTATTTATTATGTAGACAGTGTTCTGTCTGCATGTATGCCTGCAGGCCAGAAGAGGGCACCAGATCTCATTACAGATGGTTGTGAACCACCATGTGGTTCCTGGGAAATGAACTCAGGACCTCTGGAAGAACAGCCAGTGCTCTTAACCTCTGAGCCATCCTTCCAGCCCCTTTGATATATAATTTTTATGTTACTGTCTCATTTTAATACTATGCTACTACCCAGACAAAAGCATGCTAATTAAATGAATACAGAATTGTGGATTTGAGCAACAAATAACAATAATGTCACACCAGTCTGTTTTGATGTAGGAAATCTCAATGCCCTGGGTAGTCAATAAAAGTTCAAAGGTCATCAATAGAATTCTGTAGCATTCCCTACTCCCTTTTGCTTTATTTTATATCTTTGAATCATTGGCAAGAACTGTGGTGTACTGTTTTTTGTTCCTATATTCAAAATTTCAGATGCATGTATACAGCATGGAGCAACTGGAGAAGTCAAGACAGTCTAAAGGGACCATGGGAGGGAGATGTGAATAGGGGCCAGCCTGGTCTACAGAGTGAGTTCCAGGACAGGCTCCAAAGCTACAGAGAAACCCTGTCTCGAAAAACCCAAACACACAAACAAAAACCCTAGAATAAACCCTTGCTCCCCCAAGTTGCTTCGGTCGTGGTATTTATCACAGCAACAGAAACCATCGCTAAGACCCTCTCTCTTTGCAGTTTGGTGTGTGATGTGGTGGGGGGCACATACTCAACTGCACCTAGATTTTGCAGGAGTGCTAGGAATTTGAACTCAGATCCTCATGCTGGGCAGCATCACCCTTACCCAAGGAGCCCTCTCTGCAGCCCACCACACTTCTCTCATCTTGAAGATCTCTGTCATATCAGTGAATTAATATACTTACTCCCCAGACCTCTGAGGTAGTAGCATCACCCTCCTGGGACAGCTGAAGAGCCTGAGGCTCCAAGAAGTTATAGTGATGGGGGGAGTGCTGGGGTGCACACCCCAGTCTGACATGAAGTCCAGGGTTCTCCTCCTGATACAGGAAGAGACTCTGGTACCCATGTGGCCATGCTGCTGTGAAACTATGTGGTTTGGAGTAGTTCCTTCCCCTCTCTAGGCATTGGCTTTATATTCTCAGATGTGAGAAAAGCCAGCCATATCATCAGTCAGGATCACAGCAGTCAGAGTTAGGGCAGAGGAACCGGGAGAGACATTAGGACTGGCACCATTAAAGCTGGCTTCAAACCCAGACTTTCAACACTCTCCCCTGATGAGAAAGTTATGCTACATCGTAATGAACACAATGGCTGCTCTAAAAGAAGTCACTAGGACTGGGCAGTGGTGGCTCATGCCTTTAATCCTAGCACTCTGGGAGTTCTAGGCCAGCCTGATCTACAGAGTGAGTTCTAGGACAGCCAGAGCTGTTATACAGAGAAACCCTGTCTCAAAAAACTAAAACAAAAAAAAAATAAAATAAGACATTCAATATGAACTTGTTGACCACTGCCTTGGCAGCTCTGTGCTCTGACTACTCTTGGTTGTTGACTACATCTAGAATTAACTAAAACCTAGGTACTTCTTTTTTTATGATTTCGTTATTTTTGTTTCATGTGCTTTCATGTTTTGCCTGCATGTATGTCTATGTGAAGTTGTTGGGTCCCCTGAAACTGGAATTACAGGCAGTTAGGAGCTGCCATGTGGGTGCTGGGAACTGAAACAGGTCCTCTTGAAGGGCAGCTGTCTCTCCAGACTCGAGGCTAGTTACGTCTGTGAGTAATTTTCCTTTTGCTTTTCTTCTTTTTTTCTCTCTTTCTTTTCTTTTTTTTTTGTTTTGATTTTTTGTATATATTCAGTTCTGTTTCTCTAGAGAACCCTGACTAACACACTCTGGGAATCCATCTTATGTGCGAATACCATAATAATCTTGGGACACTTGAGGCCTTCACTTGCTGTGTTTAACATTCAGAGGCGTCTAATGACTTTCAGCTCCACTTGGAGCCTATCTTTATTTTTAAAACTGTAAAACCTCGTCAAGGAGCATCAGTGTCCTGTCTCCCTACCTTCTCCAAAGCCCCCTGGCACCCCTGGGACTCACATGGAAGGTGTTCTTGATAACAAGCCTGGTGACTCCAAAGGCCGATGCCTCCATCAGCACCATCACAGCCAGCTGAACCAAGTTGGCCTTCCCAAGGACAGCAACTGCTGAGATGAGAACAGGCACTGTGCTCATGGTACCTGTCTGGATGCTGGGGGAGAGAGGAGAGAGAGAGAGATGCTCATGGTACCTGTCTGGATGCTGGGGGAGAGAGGTAAGAGAGAGAGATGCTCATGGTACCTGTCTGGATGCTGGGGGAGAGAGGAGAGAGAGAGAGATGTTCATGGTACCTGTCTGGATGCTGGGGGAGAGAGGAGAGAGAGAGAGAGATGCTCATGGTACCTGTCTGGATGTTGGAGGGGAGGAGAGAGAGAGAGAGATGCTCATGGTACCTGTCTGGATGCTGGGGGAGAGAGGAGAGACAGAGAGAGATGCTCATGGTACCTGTCTGGATGTTGGAGGGGAGGAGAGAGACAGAGATGCTCATGGTACCTGTCTGGATGCTGGGGGAGAGAGGGGAGAGAGAGAGAGATGCTCATGGTACCTGTCTGGATGCTGGGGGGGAGGAGAGACAGAAAGAGAGAGAGAGACAGAGACAGAGACAGAGACAGAGACAGAGACAGAGACAGACCCAGTAAGGAAGAGCACCTCTCATTCATCAGGTCCCCCCACAGGAGGGCTGCTGCAACAGAATGGGGACCTGCTCTATCCCTCACCTGGACGACACCTGTGGTCTGAGTTCTCTTTGCATACACCCATGGCACAGGGAGGCCCACAGGCTCAGAGCCTCTGCTACAAATGTCACTGTGATTCAAAGTGGCTGCTTCTTCCCCAGGGACATGGCTGTCTGAATTCCACCCCAAGCCCACTCTCAGACGCTCCATAGAGGGCGCTCTGTACCTGCTGGCCTGGCCCGCCACCGTCCTAATTTCTCTCCTGGAGGTGGAGCCTGGGTTTGGCAGCTTGAAAGTAGAATAAACCTGGTTTCCCATCCCAGCTCTACCACCCAAGCAGCTACTTAATCCCATAAAGCATGGGATTAGGAACGACCATATGTGTTTCCCTGAACTTGGGCAGGGGTTAGAAGGAAGTCTTTGGATACGTGTATCTATCTAAGGCAAAGACAGGCAGGCATGTAAGGGGATTCATGAATAGAGACTGGCATTATGAAGACTGTCAAACCCTTCCTCTCCTGGACAAATGTGCAGGCTCAGTGTGGGGAGTCAGGTAGAGAAAAATGCTCTTTTGTTTTTTGTTTTTGTTTTTCAAGACAGGGTTTCCCAGTAGCTATGGTGCCAGTACTGGAACTCCCTTTGTAGTCTAGGCTGGCCTCGAACTCACAATGATCTGCCTGCCTCTGCCTCCCGAGAGCTGGAATTAAAGGCCTGTGCCGCCACCACCCAGCTAATAAATACATTTTTTTTAAAAGTACATCCCTGGAACCTGGTGTGTGGATAAATTGGCACAAAGCCCCGAGTCTGATCCCCACTACCACATAAATCAGGTGTGATAGTGCACACCTGTAATCTCAGCACTCAGAAGGTTGAGGCAGGAGGATCAGAAGTTCAAGGCCATCCTCAGCTACATAGTGAATTTGGGACCTGTCCATGTTACATGAGCCTAAGTAGCAGAAAAAAAAAATCACCAATGGTTGGGGCTGGGGCTCAGGCGCAGAGCGCTTGCCTAGCATTTGCAAAGGCCCTAGTCTGACCCCCAACACCAGGTGTGTGGAGAGCTGGACATTACTCACTGAAGGGCCCTTATGTTTTCATTTTTATCCCAGTGAACATTTACCAAGTTCTTACTGTGGGAGGGATTCCGAAGGCAGGGACCCATTTGGTACCAAGCCAAGTAGCCCATGTTTGAGTCAGGCCATCAGGAGAGGGGGTGGTCTCTGTCCCTAATTCAAGGAGCAGGGCAGGCAAAGCCCACTGGTCCAGCCCGGCCTGACAGGCAGTTGGGTGCCACTGTTCAACCCTGCAAAGTCGGTGCCTCAGCTGGGAGGATCCAAACGGCTTTTGGTAGAATGGTAACTGGGTAGCAGGGAGGACAACAGGTCCCTGTGGACATCACAGGGAGCAGTCCTGAAATGCCCTGCTCTGGTTTGTTTGTGTGCCAAAGGCTAATATCTGTGTGACCTGTTTGTGTGCCAAGGGCTAATATCTGTGTGAAGCCCTAGCGGTGACTGCCACTGTGAGAACCCCAGGGTGTCCTTCGACACAACCCAAGGGGTATGCAATCCCCACAGGCAGGAGCTCTAAGCCTTTAAAAAAGTCATTTTTAAACATGGGTTGTGTCCTAGCCCAGGCTGGCCTCAGACTCACCGTGTAGCTGAGGGTGACCTTGAAAACTCCTGATCGTCCTGCTTCCTACCTCCTCTTCCAAAGCACTGGGATTACTGAGTGTGTCATAATATCCAGGTTTTTTGTTAGTTAGTTTCTTTGTTTTGTTTTGTTTTATTTTTTTTTTTATTTTTGCAGTTTTGGGAATAAACCCAGGGCTTCATGCACGTTAGGCAAGCACTCTGCTAACTCAACTGCATTTGAAAAGGAATGGACCCAGCACTCGGGAGGCAGAGGCAGGCGGATCACTGTGAGTTCGAGACCAGCCTGATCTACCGAGCGAGTTCCACGACAGCCTCCAAAGCCACAGGGAAACCCTGTCTCAAAAATAAAAAAAAAAAAAGAAAAGAAAAGAAAAGAAAAAGAAAAGGAATGGACCATTTAACATCATGACGGCTCTCCAGTGTGTGGGGAAGCTGGAAGGAAGTTAAAATCTTATGACCCCAGCTGCATGACCCCAGCCACGTGTCTTACCCTCTCTAAGCCTTTATTTCCTTACCTGTATATGAGCTTGGAAATCGATCCAGCCAACAAAACATTCTCGAGGAAAATATAACCTAGTTCATTCTATCAAGTATTTAGTTCCCCTTTAGTGTAGAGTCCCACATGAATTATCTGTCTGTCTACTATCTGTGGTGGCTAGTTTAGAATCACCTTGTAAGAGGGGACCCTTTTTTTTTTTTTTTTTTTTTTTTGGTTTTTACGAGACAGGGTTTCTCTGTATTGTTTTGGAGGCTATCGGTCCAGACCGGCCTCGAACTCACAGAGATCCGCCTGCCTCTGCCTCCCGAGTGCTGGGATTAAAGGCGTGCGCCACCGCCCGGCAAGAGGGGACCCTTATTGAGGAATTGTCTCCATCAGATTGGCCTGAGGGGCATTTTCTTAATTGCTAGTTGAAGTGGGAAGATGCTGCTGCTAACCCAGACAAAAGGGCCACCGCAGGAGGAAGCTAGGAAGCTCGTTCGCTCTTGCCTGCCCATCCCTCCCTCCTGCCACAGAGGAGGTCCACCCTGCTACTGCTGATTCCTTTGCTGATGGAAGAACCAGCATTTCCAGACTTCCACTGTGGACCAGCCGCTCTCTAGGACTGAGCTAGGACCGGGCTGTCCACCACTGGCATGTGACAGACACTATGGGACTACACCAACGTCTGGGGCACCCTGTCTCAAGGATCAAGTAACTACCATCTTCTCTGCCTCTCAGGGTGGGACACGTTATTGTTATCGTTGTTCTTTTAAAGACAGGGTTTCTCTGTGTAGCCCTGACTATCCTGGAACTCACTCTGTAGACCAGGCTGGCCTCAAACCCAGAGATCACCTGCCTCTACCTCCCTAGTGCTGGTATTAAAGGTGTGCACCACCACCGCGCAGCTGTTATGATTTTAATGTAAGCTAATTCAATATTTTAAAAATATACATATATGTGTGTATACATATATATAATATACACATATTCATCCTATTGGCTCTGTTCCTCTGAGAGCCCTGACTAATCTGTATCTATCAATCATCTGTTAGTCATCTCATCTTTATTAATCACCGGTCACATATCAATCTGATTTTCCCTGTATAAACATCATCCCAGTTAACACAGAGTGTGTACAGGCTAGCTGTGCCAGTTTGTACCATCTCATTTAAATACATCTGCACGGATTGGTGTTGGTTTAAAGAAAATAAAGGTGTGACTGTTTCCTGTCTACTGGCATCTCAGCTGAGTCCTCTTCCTTCCTTCCTCCCTCCTCTCCTTGACTTCCTGGTCTCCCCCTCCTCTCTCCTCTCCCCCTCTGCCTCTTCTTCCTCCTCCTTTTGTTTTCTCATTGTAGGCTGGGCATGGAAGCCAGGGCTGTCACACAATCAGATGCATTAAAAGCAAAACAGGGAGAATCCGGGGAGGGCTATAACACCAGATGCCTGGGTACCACAGAGTTGGAACGCCCAGTAGGGTCCAATTAAATTAGATTTTTGTGTAAATAATGAAAATCTTCTAGAAAAAGTATGTCCCGCCGGGCGCTGGTGGCGCACGCCTTTAATCCCAGCCCTTGGGAGGCAGAGGCAGCTGGATCTCTGTGAGTTCGAGGCCAGCCTGGTCTACAGAGTGAGTTCCAGGACAGCCTCCAAAGCCACAAAGAAACCCTGTCTCGAAAAAAACCAAAAAAAAAAAAAAAAAGTATGTCCCAAGTATTTTGTGATGGATGTCAGAGCTAGAATGAGAGACGCCCTGGTCTTCTAGAACCTTCTCTGTCTGCATTCTAAGCACCCAAAACAACCCAGCTGTTTTCAGTTACCTCGACAGACTCATGGTCACTTCCTGTATGAAGCTGTGGTTCAGGAAACGGTCCAGCAAGATTGACCACTGCACCCCGAGGGTCAACACAAAGAGGTTGAAGGCCACACTGCTCCAGCTGTGTCTCCGAAAAGACGAGGAAAGGAAACCGAAGCCCAGGGCTGCCATAAGGGTCAAATCCGGGATGACTGTGAAAAGGAAAGGAGAGGAGTGGGTGAAGACAAAGCAAGAACGGGTGAGACTTGGACAGAATGGCCACTGGAAGGCACAGCTGAGAGCATTTACAGGAACTTGGTCAAAGCAGAATTGCCTCTCTGCTTTGGGCCTCAACTTTCTCATCTGAGTAGTGGGGCCATGACTACTGAGCACACAGGACTGAGGTAGGGGTAGATGAGAGAAAGCTCGTGAAGTGCTTCAGGCAGATGGGAGCACACAGGAAATGGACAACATTTATGAGGGATAAACACTCTGATGTGGACAAATGCGGTGTCAGGGTGCCTGCTCGGCCCACCATTGGCATTCAGTGAAGGTATTTGCTCTGGGATTGTGCGCAGGCTTCTACCCTGGTTGTACACACAGCCTCAGCAGCTGAGCAGTCAAGGTGAGATAGAGAAGAGAAGACAGGTGTAGCCTCAGAGTTACTGTGGCACAAGCCAGCCCGTCTTCCTAAGAAGCAGGGATGCGGGTGAAATAGGTCAGTTGAAATAGGTACTTGTCCCACAAACCTGGGGACCTGACTTTGACGTGAATACACAGTGGAGGGTACATGAACTCCCAACAGCTGACCACAGGCTCATGCACACACATGCAAGTGATGAAAGTTCTTTGTTTTTACTTTTGTTTAGTTGTTGATGTTTCATGTAGCTCTGACTGTCCTGGAACTCACTCTGTAGACCAGGCTGATCTCAAACTCACAGAGATCCACTAGGCAGTGATGGTGCATACTTTTAATCCCAGTACTCAGGAGGCAGAGGCAGGCACATATTTGAGTTCAAGGCCAGCCTAGTCTACAGAGAGAGTTCTAGGACAGCCAGGGCTATCTCAAAAACCCAAAACAAACAAAAACTCACAATGATCCTCCTGTCTCTGCTTCCCAGTTGTAGGTATGAACTGTCACTGATGAAAGTTGAAAGAGAGAGAAAGAGAGAGAGAGAGAGAGAAATAGTTGGTTCTTTCCCAGTTCTTGCAAGGGACTTCTTGATGGGCCAGTAGAAAATGCCTTCCCTGCCTCAGAACCCAAGCAGTACGGCTGTACCCCATGACTGTAGCTCAAATGGAGGAATGATAAAGAACATACAGGACTTTTTAACCCTTTTAGTTCAAGGATTGGCTGGAGTTGTTCTTTTACATAGATTTCAATTAAGGAAGCTTCATTGCAACAGACTAATCATGACCTAGGGAAAAAGGATGACTGAAAGATGCATATATATTCTGAATGTATGGTGTGGCCACACCAGTATGTATGAAATGTGATTGTGAATGCGTGAGTGTGAACTGCTTATATGATTAAAAGGATACTTAAATCCCTTCAAAAATAGTTCAGAAGCTACCTAGATTGCTTTAAATATAGCCAAAAGGAACATCCAGCCAGTATGTTAATGTTTTAACAGAAAAATTTAAGATGCAAATGAGGCCTTGTCAGCTAGTGAGAGCTCTACAGGTTAGATTGGGAAAGACTGCTCACAGACTTCAAATAATTTTCAAAAGTTATTTGGATACAGTATAGTTTACAATCTTTGAGTGATTTTCAGAAGTTTTTGGGAAATATTCAAAGGATATGTCCTTTTTAATGGGCATCTACAAATAATCTAAGTAGTAAGCCCAATTTACCTAGATAGTTAACCAAGGAGGGTAGACAAATCCTTCTACTGTTATGGTCCAGCTTCAACAGTTCAAAAAAGAAAATTTTTTTTTAGAAAATAAAAAGGGGGAATAATGCCCCCATTCCCCACATGACTCATCAAATAATACACTCCTCGTTTAAAAATTTTATAATGTGAATGCCAGTGAGCTTCAGACAGATTCTGGCATGATGGAACTTGAGCAACCATTGCTCAGGCCAAATGGAGACATCCATGCACTAGACAGTGGAGAAGACCCTAATTTGGGGTCGAGGGCATGTTTGTGTTTTCTTGCAGGAAAAGAATAAAGCTTTGGCAGCTGTCAGACCATTTAGTGAGATGCATGGAGCAGAGAAAAACTGGACCTAAGACCATGGGAGCCTACCTAAACCAGTTTGAGTGAGATCTCCTAAATCAGTGTTCCTGACCCTTGATGTCATCGAATCTAGAGCCCAAGAAAGAAAGAAAACAGTCGGTTCGAGATTTCCAGTTTCTCAACAGACCTGCTGCATCAACCTTCCGGACCCATGAGTTTTCATCGTGAAGCCAACAGAGAAAAAAGGACCCATTTAAAGCATTTGGACATTGGTATGGACTATGAGTGGCAAAAGCCTCTTTTCAGTATTTGAACAGGACATGGTCACTTGAAATATCAGACTTGGTGGTTCCTGTTTCTGGAATCGCGCCTAGGCCAGTGTATTTTTCTGGAGAAATGCAATTTGTCCTAATGCAACAAAAAGGAGACCTTTGGCTCAAGTCGCATATTCAGCTGAGGCTAGTGACGTTAAATGAACAAACTGCATCACCACAGGAACAAATTGGTGCTCTGTGGATAGTGCAACAAGCCTCTTGTTCATATTTTTTATAATGTTACATGTGTAACATCAATGATTATGCCCAATGTATCTGTGCAAGTGCACTTTCTAAATGCTTTCCTGAGCAGATCTTGAAACGATTGTAAACTTTATCAAATTGTAAATGTAAATCACATGGGGGTTACCCTTGTAACAGAATGTAAATCACGTGCATGTTACCCTTGTAACAGATGAAGGCTGGTAGAATGTTATGGCCCAGATCTGGTGATGGGTATGGTGATGGAGAGGCGCTATGTCAATGGGGGTCCTGGAAATGGTGACAGTGGCAGTAGGCATTCTGGCTTTATGCCGAGCTCAAACGTGCCTTGTTCCAGAGGCAAGAGATCCGTAACCAAGTATTGCTTAACTTAGCCCATGGCAATCCCGATAGCCATGAAGGTTGGTTACAGATGATTTAAGGTTGGGGTGTCTCCGACGACGGCCAACTTGTGGGGAAGACCCCTCCCACCTAAGACAGGGGTTCAAGGTCCCCCGAAGACGGGCAAGGGAGGGTGACCCTACTTGACCTAAGCCAGGAGTGCCTCATTTGAAAATAAAAAGGGGTGAATTGTGGGAACACCAGACCTTGAGCAGAGACCCACTTCCCCTTTGGCCTGGGAGTAGGCAGCTGTAAGACAATGTTTACTAAAAACATGTTTACTAAAAACAATACAATGCCCGGGGGCAATAAGTTCCTGGAAAAGGCCTGCCCACAGAAACCACCCTGACCTCGACCTTGTCCAAAGACTGACCACCTCTTCTGACACGCTCAGATCAGTTTTTGGGGTCAGAGCAGAACCAGCCAGGGTAGAGGAGAGAGCAGAAGCTTCTCTGGTGGGAGCCTTTCTTAGGAAGTTTTCTTGAACCTTTTTGGGGCCTGCTTAAAGTTTTCTTTATATCGTTGAACCAGTCTCTGTGTTGTCAATCCCCGACACCCTCCGCACGTTCTAGGACACAGGCCGCGCAGCAGACGAGACAGCTGCCAAGACAGGTGAAGGCAAAAGTGACCCCTGAGGTTCCAGTTGAAGGTTGAGGGGGATACTTTAATGTGATTTTGGTTTTGAAAAATAATTAGCAAGTGTATTGCAGAGGGTTTGATGAGACTGGTCACATTCTAGCTGTGTGATCTGATCTGGAACTCAGCCTCTCTGAGCTTTAGAAGAACCCATGCTAAATGTCCGCTAACAGCTAGTGATGCTGATATTGACCAGCAACTTGATTGGGCTTTGAGATGCCTGGGAGAGGGCTGGAGAGATGGCTTAGTGGTTAAGAGCACTGACTGCCCTTCTGGAGGTCATGAGTTCAATTCCCAGCAACCACATGGTAGCTCACAACCATCTGTAATGAGATGCCCAGGAGATCAGCCAAATGTCTCTGCACAGCTAACAATGTCTTGGTTTTTGCCCCCTCCCTGATGCTCCTTTCAGTTTCCTGGCTACTATAAGGTAAGCATCCCTGCTGCAGTGTGCCTTTCCCCCTTGATGTTCAGTCTTACCAGGACCCAGAAACAACTGGAGTCAGCTGCCCACAAACTCAAAGGCGATCTTTTCCCCTTCCCTTCAGGTGTTAGCCACAGCAATGAAAAAGTCCAACCTAAGTGGATTGCTTTACGTAAACTGTTTCCTGTCCTCCTCACACCTGTCCTGTTGGCGGATGTTCATGAATGTGGAACCCACCACAAGGAGAAGCTAAACAACTTCCTCCTGTAGTGTGGAGGGTGGGGTCTCACCACAGACCATTGGTTGGAGGCTTCCCCCAGCTTCCACGACTTCCTCTTCTGGTTCCCACTCTTGGTTTTTTTTTTTTGTTTGTTTGTTTGTTTGTTTTGTTTGTTTTTTTTCGAGACAGGGTTTCTCTGTATTGCTTTGAAGGCTGTCCTGGACTCACTCTGTAGACCAGGCTGGCCTCGAACTCAGAGATCCGCCTGCCTCTGCCTCCCGAGTGCTGGGATTAAAGGCGTGCGCCACCAACGCCGGGCTTGGTTCCCACCCTTGTAACGGGGCCAGTTCCACCTCCTCTTCAAACCCTGGGATGACGCATGGAAAGGCTGCTTTCCTAGCAGCCACTGGCCATTTTCACATGGGTGATGCCTGCCCAGGTTTCCCCCGCCTTGACAGATGTGTGAGGTTTGTTAGCAGACACTCGCAACTCACTGTCTTGCTGTCTTCTTTTCTCAGCATGAGTTCATGCCACCCTTTCACTATCTTAAAATATTTTGCCTGCTGTGGTGCAGACTGGTGGCTGCAGAGGCAGGAGGATCAGAAGTTCATAGCTGGCCTGGGCTATACCTGGGGGGCCGGAGAGGTGACTCAGTGGTTCAGAGCATTTTCTGCTCTTGCAGAGGATCGAGGCTCGCTTGTCCCTCTGCTTATACTTACGTGGGTATTACCACGAGCCTCTGGTGGGCTGGCTCAGAATCCGAAGGCCCCGGATGGCAGTGTTTGTTAGTCTTCACCTCTGACCTCATGCACAATCTTTAAAATGCCAGCCAGG